AAAAAAATAAAACCGTCGGCCACCCTCTCGCCAAGTTTTTTTCCAAGGCAATGAACAAATTAATACAAGCGCCAGATCTCTGAGACGGATAAGAATTAACCGCGTCGCTTGTTCGGGATGAGTGGAAGAGATCGAACAAATAAAAGGAAAAAGAGAATGACCCCAAAAAAGAAGAAATAAAATGGAGTAGAGCAAACTACGAGGGATGAACGACGTAGAGAAATATGTCATCATTATCGAAACAGACGACGTCGTGATATTCGATTTCGCGAGGAAGACGGCTCGGCTCATTTTTCGACCGTTAAGAGAAATAAAAATCAAAGAGAGCCAAGAGGACCAAGAGAGGAGAAAAAAAGAAAAAGAACAACAAGAAAGGGATCTCGATTGACGCTTTATTACGGTTTACTTGGTTGGCTTTGAAAGCCTATCCTATGATCATCTTTTGAGGAAAGGACCATTTCAATTACGTAAATCTCGCTCGGTCAGTTTCATCTGACTCTTTGAAGGAAAATCCACTGGCACGAGAGAACGAAGGATTCGCCAAGAGGAGAAATATATTCTATCAGGATTTGCTGACGCGACATTTCCTTAGGATTCAGAGGTACGAGGGCTTTGATCATCTCGCGGATATCTTGCGAAAATTTATTCTCACGACTAACCAAATCTTTTTTTTCTTGGCTTGTCGAGTGTCGTCAAATACCTGAAAGATATAGCATACCTATATGTATGTGTATATATATATATCACTCCACGGCTTTTTGCAAACGAAATAAAAATATTCTTAGTACATACGAATATCAAAGCAGAAATCGCCATACGCTTCGAAAAATATATATGGATCCATTTGAATAAATAAATATTAAAGTAATCGATGGATCGTTATTAATTTCACAGACAGACACATATATATATATATATATATATATATATATATATATCATCCCGTTATCCCACACAACATATAAATAATACAAGCACAAAAATTATATCTCGTTGCTCGAACGAACGTTTATTCGAAATTTGTACTACTTTATTTTTCACCACTTCCGGTATAAATTATTTTTCTACACAGGGAACGGGATCGTATATGCCTCGATATGGAAATTTTCCTGTCTCTCCGAAATCCCCCTAGGACCATCCGGTTGTTTCGGCTGTACAGGTTTTTAATCAAAACATTAGCAATGCCCCCCCCCCGAGCCCCTATCGCACCCACCCTCTCATCAGACCATCCATAGGTTTTCCACGGTTTTAACGGATTATTTTCTAGCGACGATGCGCACCGCACGAATTCGAATGCGACAGCTGCTGTTTCACTTCCAGTGCATTAACCGTGCACTGTTCAGAGACGGGCTGACTGTGTGCTTTTACGTTCAACATTTTGCATGATTTTACGTGTCAGCGGCTTCGCCGCATAATAACCGCAAGTCCAGGCAAATTTTAATTACATATTCGCCACGCTTCGAAAAAGACTCGCGAACGATTTCACAAGCATTATGATTTTATGATTTGATAGTTAAAATCAACTACAGCATTATGAACTGCTACCCAGTTTGTGACAGTCACTGCAAAAAAGTCATATACTATATATCTAACAGTCTGAAGTACTATTTTTTTAATTTTATTCTTATTAAACATATTTTCACTCGAGAACATCCTACAAACATCAACCAGTCACATTCCAATCGAGCTTCTACTCATTTTTACAAATTCGTATCACAGATTCGACTGCGGCACCGATCAATGCCATTCGGGATGACGTACCGTTAGGAGTGACGAATATCGATGAGTTAACCTTCGCATGAACTTCGTCGCCGTTGCACTTGGTTCCAGTACGATGACGCAATAGCATAGCGCACAGATACCTTTGCTATCTCCGCGTAGAACAGGTTTCCCTTGCCTTACGGCACGAACCTCCGAAGACTCTTCGAAATTGCAGGTTTTCAGTTATCCTCCTGACCATTTTGCATTTCGCATTTACCGTAAATTACAGGCGTCACCCGTTCCAGGAACGCGGTTAGGAATACATTTATCACTCGAAACTGAAGTTTACCGCATCGTACAGAACCCGTGCATTATGGTCTACAAATTATAGCGACCTCTATGGAACTTGCAAGGAACATTCCGCGGCGTCGGCAGCTAATTCACATTATATTGGAAACACGTTCCTATAAGGCCTGGTCCGCTAGCGGTATATGCACTGGCCTCTCCGCTTGCCACACAGCATATAATATATCGATCGTCAGAAATATATTTACTCAGTATCCATACATCGTTAATACATACGGAAACTCCTGGTAAATCCCTAAGCTATGCCGAAAGTATAGGTATTATCGTGCCAGAAATAATGGGGATACTGGATGATAAAATGAAAAATAATATCAAAACAAAATCGATATAAAGGTGTAATAAACGTGAAAACTAAACTGGGTACGTTCGTATATACGTTCGGTAAAAAATTGTCGAGCTTTCGAACGTTTTGGATAAGATCCAAAAGTGCCGCGTCTGATATTCACGCTTACGGTGTACGTACAGTTACTAGGAGTTGGCTGAGAAACGACTTGCTTCCTTTTTTTGTGCGGTTTCCGATTGTTCAAAAAAAAAAAAAAAAGGAAATAAGAAAATAACGTCGTTATACGGATAATACAAGAGGAAGAGGTCGTATTATACGGTGAAACTGCGAAAGTTCTTGCACGCATTGAGCTAGCATAGCAATGGCGGAAGCTCCGACCCAGCTTTTATGAAGATAACATCTCTGCTTATGAGGCATAGCTTATCTCCACCCTCCCATAGATCTTTCGGCACACAGAAGCCTGTATTATACCGGAGCAGACTCCTTTATAATCCATTATAGTTTCTAAAACGCCAACACCCGTGCCCGCAAGAAGCTGTTTACGAGCGAGATACTGCATACTCGTGGAATCGCTTAAGAAGTATGATTTACAAACGTTCTACGCCATCAGCCTGAAGTCTATCTCTGGCTGATTCTCATGCGAGCGGCAAAACGTTAAATAGATTTTTCCGACGTCTTATACCCATCCAACCGCATTCCTAAGGTGTATGGTACCAGTCATTTGCTTTCAGGATTATCTGTAGATCGCTTAATGAAAATGCATTCGCTTCAGCTAACGAAAACATCGCTGATCCTGACGAACCCGTTCTCTAAGAAAATCGAGAACTTTGTATGAATATCTTCGCCAGACTTCCATCTAGAGAGCGGGAAAGCACGACTGGTACAGTCTTGAGTGTCTTGAATTAATTTTTATCCTGAACTGTATCGAGCATGACGAAATTTTTCGACATTCTGTGGTATTATGTATACTATAGGTATGATTATACGTATAGATATTGCATGGGTGGATTTTAACCCCCGGGATAAAACCTCGCACACATGCTTAACACATTCCTGTAAACCACCATGAATTGTCCTCCTGAGCATAAAGGTTTTACGACTTCCGTGCCAACTAAGCCGAAGTAAAATTTCTGATATACGCTCGCCACCTGATACTGTGTCTTTTATTCCCTTGTGTACGTATCTTGATTTATATAGAAAACTTCAAGTTTCTCTATCTCCCTCTTTTCTTTATTTTTTTAACGGATCACTAAAGTTGTCATTCCCCACAGCCATACGGGTTTTACCTTTATATTACCTTAGACGTCGATGGAATAAATATAACTTTTATCAATACCTTTCGACATTAGTGCGCACGTTGGATTTCACTTGAAGCTTTCAACAATTCCCATGAAACACGAACGTAATGAATTTTATAAACTGCTCATAGATAAGCAATCGATTTTATTAAAAGCTCACCCATCTAAGGAAATCAAGATAGTATGAAATATAAATGGACATATCGACAGCTACATAGTAGCACGTACAAGTCAGTGAAAAGTATATAAAAAGCATACCATAGGGAAGAACCAGTTCTAGTTATGATTTGATAATTTTTACTTTTTTGCATTTCTTTCCGTGCGATTGACTGTCTCGACGTACCTTTTTCATGTCCCTATGTACAATGTACATGAATAATTATGAATGTGAATATGAATAATTCCTGTCGATGCAGAGCACTCCTATTACAGTCCAAAGTAATTCGAAAAATGACCACGTTGCTAGGTGACATGCTTTTGTTTCATTTTACTACCAACTGTAAAGTCTACAAGTACATTCATATATGTTTACCAGCTGTAAAGAGCACTTAGTGAAAATTTCAGCTTGAAGAACGTTTAGTTAAGAGCTCTGTCTAGTCGCATTAAGTACGAGTATAAAAAGTCTCGTTAGCTTAATGTCCGTCTCGCTTTCATTAGTTGACTGGATTCAAATGACGGCCACAAGGGAGACTACAAAAATCTTGTAAAGTTTCTCGCGCAGATACAAAATATACACGCGGCGAAGATAAATATAGCATTTCATAGACAAGACGGATAAGTTATCGCAGAACCAGGAGACAGTTAGACCAGGACTGTCGGACGTACTTTCTATGTATGCGATTCCATCACACCTTCATCCCCATTTCCTCTAGGAGGGTGATAAATGCGTCGACACTGACATCAGAAAAATATACTCGCTTCCACTGCGCCAGTCGCAGCAGCTCCTTATCTCTCACCTTGAGCTACTCTTTCTGAGAAATAGCTCCACTTTACAAAAAAAAAAAGGTAGAAAAACTACGGATTTTTACATTGCATTTCCTTCCACTGTTTCACTGTAACAACTTGGCGAACGTACAGGCAAATCCACATTTGTATAAGCACGTTGTACCGTTATGTTTTGAAAAGCAAATGGGGCAATTATAATTGGCTTGTTGCTACGTTTTTCCTCGAGCAATAACACATTTTTACGAATACAGTGTTTTGCTAAATTAGAGGTATATATTTATAAACGCCTCATGAGTGGACGCGATTGATTATGTACTACAATGCAAAGAATACTAATCTTTGTATTAAATAATGGTTTCTTCTCGTGAATAATAGGAAATTTGAGCGGGACTGTATTGGAGAGCAAATTTGTATGTTGCGAATATTAAACATAATTTATTAATAAAATTATGACACCGAACGTATATCACAGGTTAAAAGGTAAGTCGCATGGCTTTGGGAAATCAAAGATCGTTAAATTGTTTTGTAATGAAAGTCAGTACGGATTCTAGAACTTTGATTGTCTGTATTGCGATAAGTGCATGCAATATCAGTATAAGTATTTCTAGCTTGTATATATGCTGTAATCTTTCCATTAATGCGACATAAATTCGACGCGATGCTCTGCTACTGAATTCACTTAGTCTTACCACTGTATGATGCAACTTTGCATGTTCACTGCATTGCGATTCTGTAAACATTGAAGAGTCAGTGATTTGAAAACAATAAAGTATGATTAAAATTTAATTTTACCCATATTGTAGTAATGCTTTTCACAAGGGGCAGGCAAATACTTATCCAACATAAGCTCTGCTAAGTTGGTAGTATTATCGACAGTCTTCAAGATACTAATCCCTGTTTCAGTAGACATGACTTTATCCACCTGTCGCCAGCTATATACTCGTAAATAATGAGCTTTGTAATAAGTACGGAGTTTCATAATTCTCACTCTTTGTTTAGTTTCATGTTTTAAATCAATAAATGTTTGCACTGCTGGTTGGAAATGCTTTGAAACAATAGATTTTGTTCGGTCTAAAATCTGGAAAATATTTAATGTAAATTACTAATATATCACATGAATAAATATAGATCTTAAGCTTCATTTATATTACCTCCTTTGGTTCTTCTTTAATAATAGGTAATTTCACTTCAACAAAATCAAGTCCTTGGCATAATGTTTTGTCCAATGTATATATAGGCTTCTTCATTAAATGAGCAACTACCAATGATTTTTCAAGAACTGCAGTAATAACAGTTTCAACAGTGCCGAATGCCCAACTAACCAACATATGTGTACCTTTTACTCGGCCATAAACTTCAGTTGACTTATCCCATAAATAATTTACACTTGGTATTTGTAAAGCTCTTTCAAGAGCTTGAATATGGTGATCTGATAATTCTGTCTCCATATTTATTTTAGAGTATTCTTTTATGTCATCGGTAAGTTATATCACATTAAGTCCACTTCTTGCTGGACTTAAACTATTGCCTTGAAAACAAAAAATATGAGTTGCAGAAGCTTAAAAATACTATCGAAGCAAATTAATTTTAACAATAACATCATGCATCTTTATTTCCAACTCCAAGAATGAAAAGAGATACTTCTCATTTCAATTCATATTAAAAATCTGCTTATGGTGTAATAAAAATTAAGCGAACCTAATAGCTTACTCGGTAGCCTGAAAAGTTACTCTGTGCTGAATGCAAACAAAAGGAAACAATCATATCTTAAAGTTAATGTTACTATAGTAAAACATTCACCCACACCCACGCAATGTATTCAAAAAAAGAAGATCATGTTTGGCAACTAACTCACCCAATCCGTAAAATATTTCCCCACGTGAAAACGTCACAGTCGTGTCGTCGTTGCTACTAACGAACTCGATCGTACCTTGATCTCTGACGCATTTCCACATGAATCTTGTTTACTTCGATCACTGTGACTGCTCTAGAATTTATTTATGTCCATTTTGCAAGATTTTCTCAACACATCATTCACCTTCCGTCATTTTTCGTCGCAATACTTAAGATTACTTACTGAGAACGTAGAGTGCGCTACTGTCATCTTCTTCTTCTCTCAGAAGCGCAAACTCTACTTATCAAGAAAAGCAGATTATATTTGACGTTATCGACACTAATACATCGAAAAATATAGGTGAACCATAACTGTGCACCAATTAATAATGACATTTGAACAACACTGATATTGGAATAATTATCCACAAGATATTTTATGCAAAGAACTTTGCACGATAAACTGTGCACAATTTATTTTAATACGATCTAAAAACTGTGCCAAGTTGATACTCTTTCTTAAAAAATAAATTTCAGTATTAGATGACAAAATATAGGAAATCATTTCATCATTTAGTTAAATATTTATTTATATAAAGTAACAGACATATCTTATACGATGAAAAATATAATTACTAAAATCAACGTATAAAAGTGTACAATTTCTCTTCAAAATTTTTGACTTTGTGCAAAATAAAAATTACACGAATCTTTTGGAACTTTTTGGAACAGTGGTAACGCCAAAATATTGAGGCGCTTCCAAATAATGCAACTTCAACCTAAAATACGTTGAAACATATATAAAGAAGTTCTGCTTATATAAATATATCGCAAGAGCTTTTAAACACCAAAGGCCATGCAAGACAAATTACATGAAACAATTACGATTTATTTCTCAATGTTATCCTTCTTAACTTCCAACTGTGCGCTTCCTTCACTTTGCGTTTTCGAAGTGCCAACGTCTTGTTCTGAAATCTTTTTCTGATCGATGTTAAGGAAATTTGTTAGATGTAAAATGGACACGACACTATTCATATAGTTAGAGACATCTTCTTTTTTAATTGTTTTTAATTGCGCAGCTACCGAATGATAGACACGATTGGCTGTTTTCGTTGACAACTGCCCAATAGTTTGTACGGCGTGTAAAACTTTGTTCTCATCCGCTGAGATTGGAGCTGTAATCACGTTAAAAAAGTTACATACTTCATGTAAAAACAAAAATAATGGTCAGATTTTCATATATGATTCCATTTTAATTGTATTACCTGGCACAGATTCTTCTGGCTCTACAGGTGGAAAATAGTGTTCCAATAAACGGTTTATTAGAACACTTGTGTTATCCACTCCCTCAACCGCCTTTGTGCCATATTTCGTACTGAGAATTTCATTAGCCTTTGATATACTGATATCCTTTAAAGTAGACGCTTGCTGAGTGGCTGATTCTTTGGCAGCAATAAGTTTCTCAACTGTTGGCTGTAACGAACTGCTCATCACATTTTTGGCCGCCTCGTAAATCTGCACATCAATAAAATGTATTCTCAAACTATGTTCTGTTACAAAACAATAATAGAGCAAGTGGCATCTTACCTCTTGAGGTGGTTTCTTGACAATCGGTACTTTTTGTTCGACGATATCCAAACCTTCGCATAGTTTCTGATCAACTGCATTGATTGGACCTTCCAATTTCTTTGCCAACGGAGCTGCTATGGGAGTTGCAGCCGATGCCGCAAAATGGACACCAGCTTCGGCATGACTGAGAGCCCAGTTTATCAAGTGATGAGATTCCTTTATGTACGAGTAGGTAGATCCAGTTTTTTCAATAGCTGAATGTATCACTGGGATATTACATACACGATCTAGAACTTCGAAATGAGGAGTTTCCTCGCTGCTTGCAGTAATAGATGTCCCCACTGGCGTCGACATTGTAACTGAAAAAAAAATTCAAGAACGTCCTATCAAATAGACCGATTATAATAAGCAAATAGACATTGATCGAAAATCTTAATTCTCAAATCAGAATGTAAATTTTACTTGGAATAATGATTTTAGTTAATTTTGATACTAAATTATCGTAGGTATTGTATTGATTTTATCGCAGGTGCGCTTATCGCCTCAAAGGTCGATCAAATTAATTTATAATAATTCGTATTGTACATATATTATTTGCTATTAATATTACATTACTAATTATTACATGCACGTTATCGGTTAGATAATAGCATATTGAATGTTTAATTGCGATAAGAGTTAGACAGATTATTGCAGTACAGTGACTCATCAAGAGAATCACTGGAGACTGGTTAATTTTCTTTACGATATCTTCGATTCTGTGCAAGAGTCATCTGTCTTTGAATGTCACCTTGAAATTGATTGCGGTTCTATTTATACATACTTATTATATTTTATGGAAGAAAGTATAAGGAAAGGAACGAAACTACGCACATATGTATGTGCCTGAGAGTATTTTTCACGAAAACTATTGTCAAATCTAAACTTAGAGACTTTGAAGAGACATGCAAAATCCGTGAAAAATACCGACATAATGACTTCGATTCTAGGAATATATGCGAATGTGGTCATTTGTAATTTCTTAAAATCAAGAAAGAGCAGTCGTTGAGGAAATATAAATTTAAGTTTACATGATTGTACTTCATGCTTTGCGTGAAGTAAGATAGCATCATATTATTGTGCCATTTTTTTCTGTTTTTTACATGTCATTGCTCACTACTACGTGCGATGAGACTCGTAAGTCTCTCGTAAGATCTAATTTCAACCTTTGAATTTTTTGTAAAACTGAACTTCGATCCTCACTCAATAAGATCGTGTTACAGTAAAGGTACAAGATGGATCATTAGTAGTAAAAATATTTTATTTTCTAGTCACGAAAGAAACAAGAAGTCAAAGTCCAAATAGGTATTCTCTCAGAAAACCTGTTGACATCTTTAGCCGGAACAAGCCGACATCACGCAAGACGAGGGGATACCAAAGTTCAATAATTCTAGTAGTGCAAACACTATTTACCCATAATTTATCTTCAGCATAAAATATATAAGAAACTAATTCTATACAATACCGATAATTTCTCTTTTCATTGAAAATTTATCAGTTTCTCGGTCCAATTGTTATTCAAATAGTAGTGCACTTATCTTAGCAACGTTATAGCTGGATCTATTCTCTGTTTAATAAAATATCTCAATCTCCAAAATGCTATGTATGTATGTATATCAAAAAAAAACCTCACAGAGAAATTCTTACCTTAGAATCTGGGGTTAAGAATCAGGCAACAGTTGAAAGAGTATAAAAATACGAAACTCCTCACACGGCGACTCGAGCAACACTGCGGCTTATAACTGTGTGAGAATCCGTTTAAACTTGTAGAGTTAGCCAATGGGGCTCTGTTACGAACAGCGTAGTACAACGGTAGAGGGGCCAGACTACTCAGGGCCGTCCAGGTCAAAGAATTTACGAGATCCTTCTAGAAAATAGTATACACAGTAGAAGGAAGTATCCTTTGGATTAACCAAATAAATCAATGTATAAGAGATTATTGCAAGCGACAAATTTATGATAATACGAGATGTTATTAAATAATTTTTATTAATCTTATTCTTAACATGAAATTCTCTATTAATCTCTGGGTTCTAAAGCAGTCTTGTTACCTCAGTGAGTCAGATTCGTGATACTGCGCAATCATTGGGGCGTCGTTGATGACGTGGAGGTCATTTCGTTCAATCTCGTTATACATGAAATGATAACGATTCCTACACTAAAATAGTGGACATTTATTTGTGTCATCCTCAGGATGATTCTATGCAACTCGAATGAATGTACAGTGCGATGGATATGATGACGAAAAATCTGTTAGACTTGCACTTTAAAAATTCAATAACTGTTCTTTATTTATATATAGATATAGAATGGTATTGCTATAAAACAATTTGTAAAATATGTAGTAAATATAAAGTATATACTGTACGCGTTAAATTATAATGAATATCATTATGCTCGAGAGTACTCTTATCCATTAGGGTACTTTAATTTATTACCGCACAATATAACAGTATCGAAAAAATAAATTCGATTCCTTTCGTGCGGGAATACCTATTAACATGCAGTGGATACTAGAATACGTGTGACAAATATTTGTTTGTATAAAAAACTTATGATTACTAATAAATATAAATAGTACGGTTATCAGATGTGACGAGTTCTAACGATTAATGATCATGGATAAGTACTAGTGTTTCGTCTGATTATGAGTTTCCTTAGGCGGTGCAGTAAATGTTTGCACTTTTTCGTTGATCACTTGAATATAGTGGGTGAGCTGAAGAAATTGAACAAGCGAGCTGATGTATTCTTTCAGATCGTCTGTTTTTATAGTTTTCAAGTGACGAATCACGCTAGAGTATACTCGTCGTGCAGCTTTGTTCGATAATCGACCGACTGTTTGTAACGTGTGAAGAAGCTTGTCCTCCTCTGCAGAAACTAGAGCTAGAAATAACATAATTGAAGATTAAAATACACGTCCTTAATAAAAATTTAATTATATCTAACAAAGCAGTTTTGGTACACATTTTAAATATTTTTACAAAATATTACTAACCTATGTCTTTCTCATCACCAGCTGCTGGAAAGTACTGATCAATCAGTTTATCCACTATAGCTGCAGTACTGTCAAGACTATTCACAGCCACTGTACCATAGTGAGAGCTGAGCAATTGGTTCATTTTATTCCAGCTGAGATCTTTTAAAGAAGTGGCTTGAGTAGTGATCAGTTCGTTCGCATAATAGATGGTAGATACCGCTGGCTGTACAGTCTGTAGAGCCAAAACGTAGGCATTTTCTAGAATCTGGCAAGGGGAAATGACAATATTTGGTTAAGATTCCTCTATCGTGTAATCTAATCACAGAGAAATTTTTCATTTATAATATCAACCTTTTCTGGGCTTTGATGAACTATAGGAACTTTCTCTTCGATTTTATCCAATCCCATGCAAAGAGTGTGGTCGACGAAATGTATGGGAGCCTCGAATTTCTTGGCTATAGGAATTGCAAGCGGCACAGCCTGCTTCGTTGCGTTGGTCAGGGACGTCTCAGCCGTAGAAAGGGCCCAGTACAACAGTTGATGAGAATCCTTAACGCGTGTATAAGTCGATGCTGACTTTGACAATGCCAATTCGATCATTGGCAAACCAAGGACGCGATTCAAAACTGCCATTTGAGGTAGTTCAACTGTTTCGGCGGCCATTGCTAATCCTAATAATAAACACGAGATTTCAATTAGTTACAAGGTACAAAAAAAATGTTTCTCTGACAATAAACAGTTTCTGTATAAAGCTTGATGAGTTTCCAATCATTATTGGTTTTTCATACATTAGGAAATAAAAAGAAACAGAATTTGACAAATTTTAAAATTATAAAATTTATATATACTTAAATGCTCTCGGAGCATTCTATATTTGGATATAAAATGAAATATACAATTTGGAAAATACATGTGTCGTATACGGGTCAATTCGGTCAATGAACTAATGTACGTGCATGTTAAGTATCGCGTTTCACCGTGTAACCCTATATCACGATTGGATCGATAACATGTGATCTATAATTCCTAGAGAATTATTACAGTTACGTTAAAATTTTATAAAAGTAAAGTCCAATAACCTAGAATAAGTTACAATAAATATTTTGCAATAGTCTTGTAAGCCTCTATTTTCTTTGATTACGTGTACAACAATTATTGTTGGTTCTCCTTGAAGAAGGCTGAAGGATCATTTTGCGGTTCCTTCGATATTTATTCACAGTACATAAAGAAAAAGAAATATGCAAAATACAACGGGAAATTGGCAGTTTGAAGCTGTCATTATGAATTAAAAGAGATGTATTAACGACAGATGATAATTTATATTAAACATATACAGGAAGTAATGAAATTATGACTTACGGATTTGTATGTACAGGTTACTGAGTGATACAACTGACACGCAAACTCTCTCGCGTCGTCGAAAGGAATACGAAATTATCAGGTATTTCCAACACTTATAGCGAATAATGCGCATGCGCATTGATATGGACTCAAATAGACCAATGACAACAGCGTACACGGGAAACTGTAGACTGCAAGCAGCATCCAACATGTATGGCAGCGGTGCAAAGTCCTCCTGAGATACGATAACATTTAACTGTATATGTATAAATCTATTCACGTGGAAAAGGATTCAAACACGTAATTCGCATTAAAAACTCTTCCTTTACAATAAAAATTGCGTGGCATCGTGAACTATGTACTTTTCAAGCGTTACGTTTCTTCTATGAACGACACCATGTTTTCAGAAAAGATGATACTGATAAAGAAGAATCAGAATTTTTTAATATTTTTGGACCATCACCACTTTCTTCTTTTGATAAATTCATATGTAAGTTTTAAATAGTTTTGTGTGGTTATAGTATATAATTAGAAGATGTTCGTTCTTAATTGTGATAAAAATGTATATCTAGTGCGATGACCTTGGCTGGATGATTACTGTATTTTATATTGCCTCTATGCTTGGTCTAGACTCTGATACTTCGAATACATGTTTGCAATATGTGTGCATATTGTAACAAAATAATCATGATTCACGAGAGTCAACTTATTTTTGTGTAATACGTAAAAATTTCCTTAACTCAGTAATTAGAACTTTGAGGCTCTTGGTCTTTGAGATTTTCAAATTAGGGAGCCGATATAAATTCTTAGCATTCCTTGGCTGCCCTTCGATCCAAAGGGCAGGACTCGGCGCTTCTACATATCTTGAATAAAATTCCATGACTGATAGGAACTGGACGAAGTCCAATAGACGAATGTTTTTCTGATAGAAATAGAATTCTCAGGTAATTAACCTGAGACGTTGATACCCAGATATTGGAATGTAACTTGATGCTAAAAACGATTAAAAATTTTATCGTTAATCTGGAATTAGAATTGATACAGAATATCGATTACTGTATTCCCAAAGATGCTTAGATATAAATGAAATGTGTACATATAAGTATAATTTTATATCTGATGTGTGTATATTACGGATTTCATGTAATAGTTTTTTAATACATTGCTTATTAATTTTGTAGCGAGAAAAATTAAGGAAATATTCTTCGATCAAGATCATGACCCTTTTGATATGTATGTATGTACATCCTTAGATCACGTATCGACTATTATTATAGATACTGAGTTACTTTCTAATCTTCAATTTTCGACCAAAGTCCAGTGTACGCCGATTACCCGAACGAGATATCATTTATGATTATAATGATGCTTACACATTTTGTATATTTAATAGAAACTAAAACCTCTTTTATTTAAGAACTTACAGCTAAGTCGTAAGAGCAGCCATTTTTATGCTGTCAACAATAAAGATTACACCAATATACTGTTCTACGTGATATTATAATGTTTGAAAGAATTATGAATACGAAACTCTAGATTAATTGTTATACTAAAGCTTATGTATTTATCGAGTAAAGTATTTATTTTGCAAAACATGCAGTTCCTCTGCCGTCAATTCCCATGGAACCGTGATCATCAAAGTACGATTGGAGACTTTAAAAATCGCTTGGTATTACTTAATTCCATTGAGGGGAACGTTGGTGGAGATAGTCATGTGATTGTTGTGATTCTGTTGACGATTCTGCACTTGCGATGATTTCTCAGTCTTTGGACGCCCTGCTAGAAATGCCGCGATTTGCTCCTGCGAAGATTCGCTTGATTTTCAAATTTATTTTAAGCTACAGTAGAAATAATGACCGAACACGGATGATTTTACTCATTTTCTAACTATTTATACGATATTAATATTCATATTGAACATACCAGTAGAAGATTCGTTGTAGAATTCAGCCTATGGATGGCAGCACGTACAACGGGAAGTTGCGTTTTAGAAGTAACACGTTTGCCAGTGGCTGCTGCCATCTATAGAAAAACATAGGGAAGCTTTTATATAGCAACCTCATAAAATCATATTAGCTCGTCGCAATCACACAAACGTAAGAAGTCAACAGATATTCACCTGAAGAGCTGCATCCGCAATGCCCAACATTTGATGTGAAACAGAAATCAAAAGTCTACTAAGACGACGTGGTGTTCTAGCAGCCAAAGCAGCAGTTCCATTGACAAAATGTACGATACGACGAGCAGACTCCCGAGTGAGAAGAACCAGAAATTGCTCCAAATTTTCAGGAGGTGCCTGATTCTCCGGCTCAGGTAAACTCAACGTAGCCCACAATTCTTTAGCCTTTTGCACAGCAAGTTTTGGATCTGTTGCAAGCTGCACAAGGAGACAATTATACAATTTTCTTATACTGGAATAAATAATAACAACATAAAATTTAACACTTACCAACTCAACCACGTATAGCAGAACATGAATGCATTCCGTTCCTTGTTCTTTAAGTGCTTTAGCTTCAGCCAATGTACGGCGAGTAAGTCTTGTTTGCAATTTCCTTGAAAATCGTGCTCCGTGTTTGATTGTGCGCGTCGTGTTACTAACTCCTTCCGTGGGATTTATTTCTTTAGATATATAAATTAAATAATTCATTAAGTCATAATTAATAATGATTATTTTAATAAATTTCATACCTTCAACAATCTTGTCTGCAGGATCTGCCGGTAAATAACGATCAACATATTGGTCAGCTACAGTAAGAGCACCATCCAATCTATCAACAGCAACATTCGCTGCGTGACTTCCTATCAGCTTGACGCTTCCGGCTCGCATCAGGACAGGCCTTACGAAATTGTTGTTCACATAATCTCGTGTGCTCCAATAGATCTTATAACAATATAAATTATTTATACCGTTTTGATATAGTCTATGTTAATAATGCAAAGCCTCATTGAGCATTGGATTTGATAATTAGGAAATGCTCATTATCACTGTGTAAGGTCATCGGACGATTAATACTTACTAACTGCGGCGGAAGATGTACAGCTGGTACTCGTTGCTCGACCATATCAATACCCTTGCAGAGTAATTGATCGATAGTAGTTATTGGACCGTTTAATGCAAATATGGCAGGTTTAGCTGATGCTGTAGCCATTGCTAATGATTGCTCGGCTGTATCGAGACTCCAGCTCATTATAGAGTTTGAGCGCTGTACTTAGAAAAGATAATCATGTTAATTACTATTAATTGATACTATTTTCCAATTCAATAATTTTACACGAGGTCTAATTATTGTGGTAATGAGTCAAAGTTTTCTGGCCAATGGTACGTTATCGTTGCATAATGAACATAATTAAATATAAAATCTTTTTTTTACTTGGATTTCAATAATTTTACCTTGATCTTGCCGTACATATTACTGGCAATGTGTATTCCGCTTTCTACTATAGGAAGACTTGAAATCCTGGCGACTGATTCGAATTGCGGTAAATCCGAATATCGTCTTTTTATGTTGGAAGGTGCCATTTTCTGAAATTATTGCGCAATCGATACGATATTCTTTAATTACTATCACAAATATATGCAATTAACATATAAACCATATATTATACATAGTGGAAATTACTGATTACAAACTGTACCGCCAATTTGTAAAGTTATTGATTGCACATCAACGTCTTGTATATTTTCGTGACTATAATCTTGATAGTTAAAATCCATTGCTCAAGATACGATATAGATACTCTAGTTATCGTACCTTAGTCAATGTTTTAAAGAATTTTTTAAATGATAACGACCTCAATATAATCATATGATAGATACGTAAGAGTCTTTATGATTTTATTTGATCAAAAAGTTAATTAGCAAGACATACAAGAATTACCAAAACATTTTCATTTGACCAATCAGATAAAGAAGTAACGGATTAGTAGAAGCTGACGAAATGTAATCAGACAAACGAATTTATGTAGAACACAGCTTTTAATGACAACGAGTCACTTCTTAATATGATAATAAATAATTATTCCTTAACGCGTCTATAAGGATATATCTCTATATACAACATTTCTTTATAAATTATTCACTATATCGAATATATATATTTGATATTACATTTAATCTCGTTGACGAATAGAACACCGACAAAACTAATGACCAAAAGTCATTTTGCTGTTTTTTCATAAAAATTAATGATAACTCATAATTCAGTCACCCTTAAAACACGTGGATCGTCTCTGTATGTGTATGTTAGCCCATGCCACTGAAAATAACTGTTAGGAATTCGATAAGAGGGGTTAATGTCGAGGCTACTGGATCTTCGTAGCAGACGGTCTGTAACTAGGGAATCGATGAAGAAATATGCGAATGGTCATTACAAAATGATTGAGATACTCTGCATACTCTTCTCCCTTCAGTATGAACAAGTGACTTTTGTTTTGTATATCCACGGAAGAGATATACTTACGTGTGAGAAAAGATAGGAGTACACAAGCTTACAGGAGCAAATGATTGATCGATCGATAGCTGTATGAAATAAATATAAAAATAGAATTAGGAAAGCGCCATGGAAAACATAATTTTGATATCTATAAATGATAAGGATGACATATATATTTATTCGTTGGATACTTGCAAGTAATAAAATAATTGGTAATCAGTCAAGCAGTCAAGTAGTATGTCGCAATTACAACGTTTAATGCAATTAGCTACACAGAATCCTGATAGGAAAAAATTTGGACCAGATAGAGGATAGAAACGTCATTTTTATCGCGAGCACGAGATTAAATAATGAGAAAGGATTATTTTAAATACGTATCTGTAGAATCACCTGACAAAAATAATGAGATAAAATGTACGAGTTACATGGTAATAACCCCAGTCTAAAATTTAGCAGAGACTTGAACCTGTTTATTCTACATGAGAACATTGAGGGTTGTATTAAGGTTATGAGATATAGCGAATTAATACCAGTTCGAGCATTAAATTATTTAATGTCCAATAATGAGGATTGAAGATTGAATATGATGTTAACAAATTGTTGGTGTTAAGAAAATTCTCATTATTAACCTCAAGGCACTATTTTTAAGAAATATTAGACACATTTTTGATCTGATGACTAATTAGTGATTTCAATAGGATTTCCAGGTCAACATTTGTTCTAGGCTGGTCTGGTGTTAATCTGTGTTTGAGCACTCTTGTTAAATCCGGTATTGGAATTATAGTTTCGCCCGTAAGATCGCGTATGCTGAAAGTGATTTTAGACTTCGAACGGTAAACACGAAGAACAAAGCAATGGAGGTTGTATAGGCTTAAAGTGGTAATAGATTTTCAACTCGGGATATGACAATATCTGTTTGCTTCTTATTTGATGACTTTCAACTTGACTCCAAATACAAGATCATATATGGAAATTGTCGAAAATACGCGAAAAATAAAAATATGTGAAGGCTGTTTCTGTCTTCTTCACTTGCGTTCTTCGTGTTATATGTGCAATCGCGTGTATTATTTTCATATGGAAAAAGTTATTGTTATTGAAACTTGATAATTATGATTATTTATTATATTACGTAATCTGGGATATTTACCTGAAAAAAGCGTAAACTGCCAAATGCGACTTTACGTTTGAATTATGCAAGAAACTATTTCGTGTGGACAGATTTCAGTGTTTCGCTGGAGAACACGGGCTCTACTGCACGTCGGGGATTGCGAACGGTATCTTATCGACTTGACCTATGACACGTTGATTAGGTGAACAGAAAACGCAGTGGCGCTTAAGTTATTTCCAGCGTTCGATTCTGTCGTGGTTAACGGCTTTGCGCATGTAATCATTAGGTTTTGCTTATTAATTGAAGAAAGTTACTTTTTGCATTTAAAATATGCGCAAGCTTCCTGAATATTTGTTATAATGGATGCTTGTATTTGATAATTTTTGGAAATTTGGTTAAACCTTAATCTCTAGAATTTTCAGTTAATTTTCATATAGAGATCGTCGGTGGTATTAGGAAAAAGTATGAAATTTTGTAACTTTGTTTTTTTCCAAAAATAAGAGATTCGATGTCCAGAGTTCAAGTATTATCTTTTCTTATGTATAAATGTAGTCTTTATTTATTGAAAAATTACCAAATACTCTCTAACAATAAAATAGCTCATTTAACGTTTTTCTCAGTAATACTTAATTGAAAATAATTATAAGTAGTGGAAGTTATCACAGCCAGACAATTTAATAGTGTGCAAAGTTCGGTTCTGAAACTTTATGTGAATATATATTATTTATAGAAGTTTTGTATCGGCGAGAAATATGTTATCTTCTGATATTAAACCTAATCTGGTCATTGTTATGACTTATGACAAATATTTGTTAACTGCAATAAAATAATATAAAATATAAATATTATGACTTGAAGCGTGTCTCATGATAACCGTGTGCATATGAGATTATGATAATTACCTGATTTGATAAGATTCTTTTCTGGTTACACCAAAAATTTAGTTCCGGTTTACCTCGGTGCGGTCTGACACACGGTTATCAATTCTACATATGATTTTATTTGTAATACAGTCAGGGACGTTATCTGTTATCGGAAAATCGATCGATCACCAATTGATGAACGCACATTAGGTGTCCAATGGCGCGGAAGCATTTTTTAAAATATCGTTCTGAAAATATATCATCGATATCAATAGCCCCTGAAAATATTATCGATGCGTTGTTTCCTATAGTGATATATTCTTATCAGGCAGTACGATTATTAGAGATACTACCGACTTAGTGTAAGTTTGGTAATGGTAAAAGAAACACGTTTTTGGGAAAGGTAAGCATACCGGTAATTACGTGATTTCATTCTTGTGCAATCTTCGTAATAGGTTTTATGCTCCCATGTAAGAAATATGTTGGAACACTTCTATAATTGAGTGAATGATTTCGAAAGCGTCCAAATATAATGCAAAAATACAATTGCGTCTTGTGATTATCGGGAAATGAGTGTTTTTCAGTATATCAGAGACTTATTTGTTGCTATCCTGCCAAAATATTGTTAAGTAAAATTTATTTTCAAAACTGTCATCGATATATGATAATTTTCGGTAAATAATGTTTCAAAATGAGAGGCGATAGTAGCATTAGGAGTGTATGATAAGGTCTTTGGAAATAATTTATTATCAAAAATCAATAGAAGAAAATTATCAAAATTCAATACCGATGGCTTATGAGACTATATTAAAATAATAAGGATCAGTTTGGGAACAAATAAAAAAAATTATTTTTACATGATGTCATAAATTCTAATCGTGACGAATCACTTGATTAAACAAAATTTTTCAAAAATTCTCTGAATTGCACACAAAATGAACCACAATTACTCTGCATAGGTACCTAAACAATTGAACCAGTGAAATTTAAGTACACTCTAAAAAAGTTTATGTTCAAGGTCTAAATTGACGGAAGAATCATCAGTGGTGCTAAAAGTGCTTCAAAATGGCGGCCAAAGTTTATATCGGCTTGCTAATATATTTGATATATTCAATCAGTGACACTGGTGCAGGTGAGGAATCAATGTACTAACATAATAAACGCCATAAAATTCTATACGTAAATACTAAATTTTATTATCATTCTCATAATCACAAGAATGGAGTTCACCACCCTTCCTCGCACCTGATCCATTGGATGAAGCAGTAGAATTTTTTGGCTTCAATGAGGCTGCTTCACAAACGAACATACTACTCGAAGAAGAACTTGATTACAATGTCAGCATTGCCGTGATCAATTACTCAGGCAAGTAATGATTACCAAAAAAATAACTACTAAAAATCCCAAAAATCATAATCAACCAAAATACCATCATACACGTGTAATAATTGAAATATACATATGAATTATGACTTCGTACCAATTATAAAAATTAATCACAACATCTAAAAATAACAGAAATGAAATTAATAATTATCATTAAATTAGGTTCAATGACTCCCACAATTGGCACTTTTGAAGACAACAAAAGTAATTTGATCCTCGGTGCCGTTTTCGAGCAAAACGCTGATACTGGATTATGGGAGGTGATTATCACAAATAGACAGGATTACGAAACCGCTATAATGCAGACCTATAGATTTCACATAGTGATTGGATCAGAGCAAAATAAAATTGCACTTAATATTGTCAACATAGACGATAACGCGCCAGTTATTCAGGCTAATGAACGTAGTTGTTCGGTAGAGGCAAGTATCAATATATATTTTAATTTACTTCATTTGCAGTTATTACACACCAGGATTATGATTTACATTGATTATACGTATTTTATAGGAAAATTATGAAGGCCCTATGAATTGCACGTTTACCATTAGCGATGCTGACGGTTGGATTACTCAAGTTACATTTGGTATCACTTCAACGGTACGTTTGAATTTTTTAAATTAAATTTTTCACATATAATTATACTGATTGTATCTTATTTTTTTTTAGCCAACAAGCGGTAGTGACCATTTTGAAGTAATTCCTGATTACATCGATGGCACTGAATATCAAATGAATGGTTATCTGAACGTTACTAATAGTTTGGATTACGAAACAATCGCTATGTATATGCTGGTAATAAAAGCCACGGTAAGTCATCGCAGGGAGTAATGAGTTAAAGAAATATTTTTAGATACGACTCATCCCTTGTTCACTGCGCATTAACATATCGTATCATTTTATTCCAAAATCAATCATTGCTTTATCATGTTCTGTGACACATATTTTCGTTGCATCTGATTATTATTATTTCTGTATCGATTAGAAAATTGTCACCTTATACCTGTATATTGTGTTTGTATGATAATTAATGATTTTTGATATCATTTAATTAATAGGACGGTGGAGGTAACGAAGGTTCTCTCACAATTGTCATTGAGGTTATTGATATGCCTGATGAACCACCAATGTGGACGAGTATCATATCTGCGGAAAATATTTTAGAAAAATCGACAAATGTAAATGATTTTTTATTTTTCATTTATCTTATAAATAATGTCACGGGTATTGTAAATATTTTTTTCTCTAGACATTCAGCGTCTCGGCTATCGACGGTGATATTGGAATCAATGCAGAAATTAATTACAGAATTATAACTACGGAAGTGCGTAAGTAAAGCTGTAAGCACTTTGACATCATCTAAACTCTTGAAGGCTTCGTTATGCAAATTATCAGTGAACACAAACATAATATATAAGCATTTGTAATTATATAAATCATTTTAGGCGATGAGCAATACTTCGTAGTTAATAAAACATCAGGGGTCATCACAATCAATCCGATAGATCGAGATGCTCTGGCACAAGAAATTTTTCGATTCTTAATAGTCGCGTACGAAGCCGAAGACGAAGAATCTGCTATTAACTCAACCGTCATTATAATCGTCGAAGATATCAACGACCACAGTCCAGAAGTATCACCCACTGAACTGGCCATAGAAATATTGGAAGAAACTTTCATGAAACTTGAATTTGATGATTCTATAGTGATTACAGATCCAGACCTTGTACGTCTTGATTCTAATGACCTAAACAGAGAAAAATACACAAATAATTTTTGCAATCTATATAATGCATTTTTTTAGGCAGAGCATGCTCAATACACGGTAGACTTGACTGATGATTCTGAGCATGATTGGAGCTCAGCATTTTTGGTAATTCCTACAAGCGGTTATCAGCGTGGAACTTTCACGATTTCAGTGATTAATGCTTCTCGGTTGGATTACGAAAATGAAGATTGGAGAAATATAACGTTTCGGGTAAATAAACATTTTATTCGCGAAAAATGTTGTTTTATTAATTCAAAGAAATTATTATACAGATAGTAGCTACCGAACTGGCAAATACGTCACACGTTGGTATACGCGATATAAATGTCCAATTAATTAATTGGAATGACGAGGTGCCAATTTTTAAAAATGATACAGTGGAAGTTGAAGTACCGGAAGATGTTGAAATGGGATACCTCATAGAGACAATGCTGGCAACAGATCGTGACGTAGATGACAATGTCACGTTAGTATCATAATCTCACCTCTCAGTTTAATTGATCAACGACTCGACTGACAGTATTTTTTAGGCATTCTTTAACGTATCAGCGTACGTTAACGATCGATCCGGTTACTGGAGACGTAACTACTACGCAAGATGACGCTTTGGATTACGAGACGATGCCAATTGTCGTTGCGCAAGTTGTTGCTACTGATTTGGCATCACATAAGACTTATGCGACATTGACTATACACGTGATAGACGTTAATGACGTTCCACCGTCTTTATACATGGTGAGAATTTTTCTTTTATCTGTCCAATTAAAAGGTATTTATGAATTATAGCAATAATTATTATTTACAGCCAAGTTCATTCCCAACTCTTGAAGAAGAGGTGGACAATGGTACAGTCGTGGACACTTTTATTTACGCGACAGATCCTGACACCGAAGCCTATCTTGTTTTCAGTATCGATTGGGATAGTTCCAGTGCTTATAAATCTAATATTATTGTTGATGAATCTTATTATCGTGGGTAAGTCAATGGCCGTTGATAATATATGATTAATTTTGCCTAATTCGTTAACTTTATAATGTTTAATTTACAGGCACCTTGAGATCGAAACTTCTTATCCCGAAAATCATACTCTTTATGCCGAAGCTACTTTGGTAGTCAGTGGAAGGATCGATTACGAGGCATTCGATCTTATGTATATCACTATAGTTGTTACAGATTTGACAACTGTTCACAACGCCAATTCTACGTCATGTGATTATCAGTATTTTTATGATTATTTATAAACGTATGATATTTTATAAGTAATTAATTTTATTGTTTCCAATTTTTTTTCAGCAAGACTGACCTTGTATATTTCTGATATAAATGACAATGCTCCTGTATTCCAAGCTTATGATGAGATGATGGTTAGCGAAAATCAAATATCTGACATTCTGATAGGAAGTATCACTGCTACTGATGCTGATGGTCCAGGAAACAATGAAGTTGTCTATTATATAGAGTAAGTTACGGAATAAAGTGTTGTTAAGTTTCGACATATAATGATTCATTCTAATCATTAGACCAACTAATGGTACCCAGAGTAATTTGGTGTACATCAACACTAATACGGGAGTCATCAGGGTTGATGAAGATCGTGCAATTGATGCTGAAGTCTACGAATATCTGTACTATAATGTAATAGCAAGTGATGGTGTTTGGAATACAACTGAAATGGTAAGTATAGAGTAGCAATAAGAAAATCATGAAATTTTGACTCTACAACCAAAACATTGATTTTAATATTCAAATCTGCATTTAATAACAGATTGAGATATACGTCATTGATCAAAACGACGAAGAACCATATCTACTTTCACATTTGTTTGAATCCACATTATATATCAGAGAAAAATCTGAAACAGGTACTGATATTGTCACTGTTCGTGCTTTTGATGACGACAGAACGTGTAAGTATATCAATTCATGATATTTCCTAATTTGAGATCTAAATGATCCTAAAATATGGAACTAGGCGTAATTGAATGATTATTTTTATTTTCAGCGCCTTACAACAATGTATCTTATCTGATAAATACCAATTATCCTGCTTTACTGCAATATTTCAGTATGCAAAAATACACTGGTTTACTTCAGGTCAGTTTGTCTGAAGGATATATACTCGATAGAGATTTTGGTGATGAGTCATATACTGTGCATTTGATAATTCGTGATAATTACCTAGTGGACGGTATTACTTGTATGTAATTTATATTCGAATTGAATTAGCCATTAGAAGGTAAAATAATCAATACTTTATCTTCATCAGGGAATACCAATAGTAATACTACAATCGTCACGGTAATTCTTGAAGATATTAATGATCAAGTACCAACACTGCCTGAACTGAATGACCCTGCCGCTAGCGTCAGTGAAAATACTGCAAACGTATGAAAATGTTCTCTATTGATTTCCTTATAAAAAATCAAGTATTCATAATTTTATTACATCAATATATTATGATTAGGGTACACATATCCTGACTGTGGTGGCTACGGATGCTGATAAACCGGATACAAATAATACTAGAGTATTTTACGAGATACTTAGTGTCACTGCTGTTAATGATACCGGGATCGAAATTGGAGATGATTGCAATGAACTTTTCAGAGTGGAAACTTATAATCAGACAGATGCATTGGTTTACGCTAATTGTGATCTAAAAGGATATTATGGCACTTGGTCGTTGGAGCTGTATGTAAGTTGTTGCAAAAAATTGTAATCTTTTTACAAATTATTTGTTACACAAAATTGTTTGAATAAGAAAGTAGTATAACAAAATCGTTGCTTTATTTAATTATTTAACACTTAATTATAATATGAATTTGTGCAGGTACAAGATCTTGGAGATGATCCTGGACCACTTAATGATACTAAAACTTACAATATACAAATCACAGATTATAATTACAATGATCCTGTCATTGTCTTCCCAAGTGCTAGCAAGAGTATTCGACTCAGTCAAGTATATATTAAAAAGTATTATATTATTGTATTAATATTGTTCAGAACACTAATTGAAATTATTGTTTCTAGACTCAAACACTCAACTCTCAATTGTATTTGTACAATCACCAGTTACTCAGTGATTTCACAGCTACGGATGAAGACAATGGTGACAGTGGTGTCGTTACCTTCTCTATTTCCGGAAATTGTAAGTTATTTTGTTTTACAGTGTTAATTATTCGGTAAAAATTTACTCCTACTAATTAATTAATATTATATACCAGCAGATGCTCTGGAATATTTTACTATTGTTTCGGTCAGCGAGAATACAGCCCAGCTTCAGCTTAATGCATTGCCCGACTTTAGCGTTCAGTATATCTATGAGGTATATCATGACTGTATTAATTTCATTAATAATATATTATTAATTAAAAATATTTATGATTGTATTGCATAATAATAATCAAAAATATTGTTATCATAACAGATAGTCATAACTGCTACTGATGGTGGAAGTCCACCAAGAAGCGTCTCGCAAACTCAACGAATACTTTTCATCTCTGCGAATGGACCAGAATTCACAAATGCAACTTGGACTGCCTGGTTCCGTGAAAATAATACAGGACTTGATGACTGGGCAATCATACCAGAAGCTCATTATATGCTGAATGAAGGCGCCGATGAAGAAGATTTTGTTAACATTTATTATTTCTTCACCAGTGAAGGTTTGTTAATCCAAAAAATATTTTGAAGGTATTCCGAGCGTAAGGCTATATTACAATTTCATGATGTAGCATCGTGTTAAAAAATTTCAGACTCGGTTATGGACATTATAATGAATAACTGTTATTTAAAAAAATGAAATTATTAGTACAGAATATATAATGGACTAAGTGAATTTCATAGATTAACTATTACGCTCAGAAAAGTTGAGTCACCGAAGTTTTTCACGAGAAAATATTATCGAAGGATGATTCGTTACAGCTTTGAATAATTGAGAATATTAGAAACCTTCCACTTAGAAACCCACAAAAAATGTACAATTGCGCTCGCAATACCTTAAGTCATCATCCATTCATACATGAAGTGTTTCTTGCAGATGGTGACATGTCGTATTTCAACTTGGATAAAGATACAAGAAACTTGACGTTGAAAAAAGTGTTGAATCGCGAAGAACAAGAAACTTTATCACTTTATGTCGTTCCCACTATTGATAGCGAAGGACCACCTGAAGATCCACGCAACGAAGCTATTTTAAATATAACTATCATAGTCTGTACCCTTACTATTGTCTTATGTAATATTAACAAAACGATTAATTATAATAATACTGCCTCTTTTTCTAGGTTGTTGATGTCAATGATAATCCACCAGTATTTGATAGTAGCCATTACCATGGTGGAGTAACGACTGAGGATGTAATTGGAAAAATTATTTTGACAGTTTCCGTAAGTATCTTTACTGATAAGTTAAAAAGATCCTTTATTAATTTCAATATTTATTTTCATTATTAGGCAACTGATGCGGATCTCAATGATACTTTAACATACAGTATAGTGAGTAGTAGCTTGTCTCATTCCGATTCGTCATTATCCAGCGTATCAAATCCATTCTCAATTGATGCCTCATCAGGGGATTTACTATTGCAATTCAGACCACTATCATCGATGACAGGATATTTTGATTTCAACATATTAGTACAAGACGAAGGTAAATATCATAGCGAAGAAAAACTAATATCGTGATACTTTCACTAATTTACTTATCATTCTAGTTTATCACGAAGATACAACAAATGTCAAAGTGTACATAGTATCAGAAAGCGTTCGTGTTGTTTTCACATTCGGAAATAATATAACGCATGTATCAGAGGAAAAAGCATTCGTAAGTAACTAGAAAAAAAAAAAGAAGAGTACTTCCTTCCTCTTCCATAATAATTATTTCGTATATTAAAAATTTTACAGATCATCAGTTCATTCACTGACACTTTTGGATTTATATGTAATATCGATTACATTGACAGCTACGTTGATAGCAACGGCTTGACAGTGGATAACATTACAACGGTTACGACGCATTTTATAAATGAAGAAGATAACTTGCCAGTTCTATCAGACCTTATCATAGTGTAAGCAATTATTTTTAACACTGAAAATAAGATTCAAATGAATCTCTTATCAAACATACATATTTATTCTTATCTTACAGAGCATCGAGTGATGTACAGACTATAACGGATCTTAAAGTAATTCTCTTAAGCAGATCATTATACCTTATTGACGTTCCAACCGGTTCTAATACTTCGTCAACAAATACTCAGCAAGTGATTCAATGGGTCCTGATATGCTTGACTATATTCTTTTTCGTATGTAGTATCGCTTTGCTTGTAGCATATATTGTGAGGACAAGGAGGTGAAGTATATTTCTTCGATGTTTAAATCCTTTAGCTTCATTATTGAATTCGTTATTAATTGGTTGAATATAATTACAGATTAATCGAGAGACTCGATAAATTAGCTGTCATTAAGTTTGGCTCGCAAGATTCCGGACTTAACCGTATCGGCGTTGTGCCGACGACCAATAAATTTGCACTTGAAGGATCGAATCCTATGTGGAATAATAAAGCCGAAGTGCCAGGAGACAACGTGAGGTAGGCTGAAATTTGTTTTAATAATAAGATAATAATTATGAAATTTATATTAGAGAATACAAGAATGATTTGTGATTAAAATATAATTGAATTTGTTTCAGTCATGGAAGTGGCGATTCTGATATGATTGGTGTTGAGAATAATCCTCATTTTTCATATGGTAATGGTGGTTACGTTCCGGATGATCCGTGGGAAAGCGAGAGAAGGGTAATATATTTAATATATTTATCAAATGCTAGATTTCTTATTATATAATTATTATTGTTCGTAGGAGAGTTTTAATCCCGTGATGGCGTCAGTTGACGGACTTCAAAAACCTGTTACAATGGGAAAGACCATCGAGGAGAAGAGCGATTTTCATAATAATAAAATCGTGTATACGACGGAATTATGATATTTTATTATTTCATAATAGAACAACAAATCAACGAAGAAAGTCGCTTGTATAGCATTAACAATAATAGGTTACTTAGAAGTGCATAATGCATAAAACGAATGTATAAACCGAAGAACGAAGAACGAAATTAGAATAAGTATTTATGTAAATATTAATGAACTTTCGTAAATATCATACTTTCGTAAAAAGAAATATATTAAAAACAAAATTTTTATTGATATTAATGATAATTTCCAAGTCTATAAGTAGAGCCATCATTAAATTCTCACACATCAATCACTCTATCAAATAATTAACCCTTTTGCACTATATGCAGAAGATGTCGCAAAAACGCGCACAATAGATGGCAATAATGATCTCTATTAAATTACGACTAGAGAGATCTATCGTCTCTTTTTGCACATTTCCCATTCTCATCACATGACTGTGCATGTAAAAATGGAATGTGTTATTATATTTACCAAAATCACATAGAAGTAATTGAAACTGTACCTGTCTACCTGAAGCTTATAACAAATTGGCCAATCTTTTGGTTGTTATGCACGAACCGCAATGGATGCCTAATTTTACCTTTTCTGGTGCCTTCACAGCGAACGTGATGTGCCCTGCTATGAGTGAGTGAATGTTACAGCAATTTATTTAAAATTGGACTATGCTAATCTTTAAGAAAACACTAATACACACTTGCGGGAAAAGGATTCTGATTCTGATAATGTAAAATAAGTATCGCCACTGAATAAAATATCTATAAGATTTTGTTACCTTGATTTGTGAAGAAAGGTAGAAATTGCCCAAGTAGGCTTTTATTAATAGCTTTTGAAAATTCGTCTCACAGATAACCTGGGAAATCATGTGTGAGGTGGCAGCATCTCACTGGGGGCGTCTGTATGTAACGTGAATCAGGTCCTTACGTAACAATTGCATATAGCAAATAGGTGCTGCAAATTGTGGATCTGATTTCTTAGATGGACGTAACATCATCATGAATGCTCTTTCCTATGTTATACATATATTGTATATACACCACCTTAACGAGAAGCTATCAAACAATCAAATAGGATGTAAATGTCTCGCGTCTAATATTAGCCTCAATCAGAATCAATGAAGGCTGAAGTAACGCAACGACATTAGTACCGATAATTGTATCGCTCACATGATTCGCCTTCATGCCTGTATAAAGGAAAGCGGATGCTGAGCGCATCTTAGTTTGCATGTAACGAAACGCTGCAAGAACGATCAAGTAAAAAATCGTAAATCACAACGGCTATCACGTTTTATTGTACTGCAATATTTCAATAGCGCTTAGTTGAACTCAATGTTAATTTCGTGACAAACGTACACGATTGCAAATTACAAGATGAAATAGCGATTTTTATGAAAAATAAGAGGCAGATTGGTTATCTTATAAAAAGGGACCAATTGCGAACAGCAGCCAGTCAAGTTTTAACAACTGATGGAGAACCAACGAAGAGGTTGAATAAATTGATAAAACTGTAATTAAAAACTTAGTCACGCGTTAAATTTGGAGAAGAATAGAAAAATGAGATATTCAAAAGATAAAAAGATTCTCGAGGACGAGCAGTGCTTTGAGATTGTGCAAAAGAAGTTGAAGAAGGACTCGATGGATGATTTTTCATTAATCAAATATGAAGTGGTACCATTTGATGAAGTGCTTGGATACATGGGACAGTATTACACTTTGAAAGCTACTGTGGGGTATCCCAAATCACCGTCTACTGAGAAGATCATCAACTTCTTTACGAAAATACCACCTCCAATGACCAGTCCCCAGTACGACTTCATGCAGGAGCAAGGAACATTCAGAAAGGAAGTTGCATTGTATACTATGGTATTTCCGGAATTCTTATCAGACATGGATACAAGATGCATCCCAGAATGTTTTTTGGGCTTGGAGAATGATGTGATAGTTTTAGAGGATATGGTTCACAGTGGCTTCAAAATGACAGACAAGACAGTGCCCTTTGATTTTGATCATTGTCAGGCCGTGATGAAGACACTAGCGCGATTTCACTCCAAGTCCTTAACTTTTGAGGAACGTTACAAAAAAAATCTCAATGATACATTTGGGCACTGTATGCAAGAAACTTTATGGCCTGTTAAAGGCGACAGATCTAAGGGTTTACTGGATGCTGCGGTCAAAGGCAATCTGTCATTGTTTGATCTACTAGAAAAATTGGATAACGAATCTCGAAAGAAATTCAAAGAGAAGTTCATGGAACTGAGTGCGGTTCATGCGGAAAGTTTACTACCATCGAAGAAATTTAAAAATGTCCTTTGTCATGGTGATTTATGGGCGAATAATATTCTCTTTAAATATGATAAAGATAAAAGACCCGTCGAGTGCTGTCTTGTAGATTTTCAGCTTGCCAGGTAAAATTCTATGCAGTTCACTTTGGACGATAACGGTATTATCTTTTGGTTTTATTATTATTTGTATTTTATATTTATAGGTACAATCCGCCTGCACATGATATCTTGTGCTTTTTGCAATTTACGACAACACGTGATTTAAGGGAGAAGCATCTGAAGGATCTTCTCAAGATTTACTTTGATACTATGGCTTTGGTACTGAAAAAGGCTGATTTTAATATTGACAATGTTTTACCGTGGAATGATTTTATTGATTCCGTCGAAGACCTCAGAACAATGTCTATGACTCATGGAACTTTGAACATACCGATTATGTTGCTGGAATCCGGTGTGGCTAGTAAGTATTTTGCAGAAGAACCGCACTTGTTAGAGTCCATACTTTATTGCGATAGGACACCGTTAGTTAAGAAACAATTCGAAGATGTACCACGATACAGAGATAGATTATCGGATGCCATGTACGAATTGTATGATAGATTATTAGATTGATGTATTATTTATCTTAGAAATTGAATTAATAGGATTTTTATAAATTACTCGAGACAGTTGAGAGGCCATTGATTCCATAATTTTGTAAAATGGAGCTCCCGCGCATTTTTTTAGTTTAAAATAATAGAATAATTGAAAATACATTATGAAATATCTTATCAATAAATACGTAATGATGCAATCTAAAATTTTTGAAATTTTTTATTCGAACTTTAATTTTCTTCATACACACAAACGCATATCATCATTCGTTCATTCAACGCAATTATCACAAAGAAAATCTCTAAACCCTTTTATTTTATGTACATTTCTGCCTGCGCATTTCAAATTATTCGTATTCCATTACGCACTCGAGTCATTGTCACCTCTGGACATCCCTGCTGCTGTCAAACGAAATTCTCTAAATAAAATCGCTAATGAAAGTCGCGAGCGGACACAGATCTTTAATGAAAATTGTTCATAATGAAAAATGTACGTTATATTCCGTAATACGATATCAATCACGCGAGACACTATCGATTGGGAATCAATTGGCACAGCTTATATAAAAATTGTACGGGGCACTTGCTGAAACAACGGGACAAACGGATTTGAGATGACTTCCTTTTCTTTTTATGTATATAATTATTTATATCATCAATTATAATGAATATATAGTTATGTACAATATTGAATCTCATTCTTTAACAATAACATCAACAACATGATTAAACAACGTTCCTCATTGGTACACAAATTGTAAATGTACAGATAAAAAAGCATTAGATGAGGTCAATGAGGCATTGAAGGTGGCGAACGCTCTGCGCGCCAATTTTTCTTTATACATCTTATAATCCCCATAGAGTTCGAATCGCTTCATCTTATTTTTTTTTCATTTTCCTTTTGGTTGTTCCTTTAGATACATACGTCATACACACACGCAAATGCGCCACGTAGCCGTGGCACGAGAGAATATGATAAGGATGATGAATCGATTGAATCGGTGCTTGAATTAATTATTAAGAGAGTGCGCGAATTTAAATTTTTGTATATCACAATGAGCCAGTACAGTTCTTCGTCAGGTCCAATGATTTCCGGTTCAGAAGAGATCATCGACTTTTACGCGACATCGTACCTCAAAACGATGAGAAAGATCATCAGGAGACGCTCCACCAATTCCAAACGTTTCCGAAAATCAAAATCGTGTAACTCGTATAACAAAAGAAACGTTACTTCTTTTCCGCATATGCATGATAACATGCGTCAACGATTATCAATTATCAAACCGTCGCGATAACTCATCGACTCTCGTTACCTCAAAGTTATTACGATACGGCATATATATAACTGACTTTGGCTTATTGTGACAGACAATAATGACAATTACCATAAAATTCTACACAAGGCTTTGACGAGTGAATGAACGACTTGCACAATTCTAAATGTACGAATTTGCATAATTCTCTTAAGACGAGAAAAGTCCAGGAAGAAAAAGGAAAGTAAAATAATCACTGTTAACGTCACTGGTAGCACAAGATCGATCGTTAATACAGAACGCTTTATGAATCTCTGAAAATCAATAAAAATCGAAGGTGTACAATTCCGTTTCATTCGACTCAAAACTCATTAATCTAACATACGTAAATGTTTTTCTTTTGATTCGCTACCAATGACGATAACACGACACGGTCTTATCCGTGAGCGATTTCCAAGACGTCTTTCGCGCGACCAGATTGGAAAGTTCGTCACGGCATCATTACAGGGCCATTCGGCATTACTGAATTTCTATAGTCGGATACGCGATAGCGCACCGCCTCACGAATCTTCTCGTCTTAATCGAGTCATGTTAAGGTTATACGATGATAACACGAACTGCGGTGGCAGTGAACAGTGCACGTGGATATCGCAACAGCAGCAGCAGCAGCAGCAGTTATACACGGTATGCATATATGAACACGGCAGCGTCTACCACAGCTAGTTCTCTTTAATCAATTACCTTTTTTTTTCTTTTCTCATCATTTAATTGAATATTTTATACAGCAACGGATAACCAATCAATCAGATGCCGGGTCTGATGACACATGCTCGTAATAATTTTCACTTAAGACCATATAAACGTCTCTTTACTCGTATGCAGATTTTTCTTGTTCACTTCGTCATTTCCGTACGCGCTAAGCGCATGACTATGTGATCCTTTCTCTCTCTTTCTTTTTATTTTGTATTTGCATAAGCGCAAAAGTACGCCGTGTGCCGTGTCATCGGTGTAAGCATAAGTCGTGTACGTTTGTGTACCTGTGTGTAGACACATTCTTGAGTTTCACAAAAATATATAAAAGAGAGAATTTCTATGCATATATATGTATATATATGCACATATACATATACGTGCATATGTACCTACAATGTATATATACCGATATATAACCGATTTACTCAAAATCGTGTGGAAAAGGGTGTTTATCATAATTATTATTATATATATCCTGTATATATCCTGTACAAAGTGCTTGATTGAGAGTTTCGTTAGTCGTAAACAAGACACACGAGGTAAGATTACATGTAGTCCCGCACACATTTTTATCTTATTACACTCTCGATTCCTCGCTTGTCGCATGCAAGGCGTTCACGCCATTGGGAGCATCGAAGTTGCTCCATTTGACTTTTATACGTGTATGGAAAGTGGCTCGGAGAGACAGACGAGACTATCAGCATTGTTTTAGGGTATTTTCGAGTATCGTCACGCGTTAAAAAAAGAAATTACATACGAACTCGTATTGCGTATTTTTCCCGTAGAGGTATAAATTATAGTGACACTATGTGTTACCATGTCAGAAGTAAAGTAAAACACTGCAAATATAATATTGGGCAAAATCAGAAAGAAAATTGGGACGAGTATCGCGAATTCCCATGTATATTGCTGATTCTTCAGAACCGAACCTCATGCTGAGAGGTGCGTTCCATCGGAGTGACTATGATCATCCACTTAACTCCATCTCTCATAATTTGCCACGATCCTGGACACTCTTCGCGATGACCAATTCCATAATAGTCTTTATCACCGCTCTGGGTAGTTTCTATTAAATTTTATTTATTTATAACACTTTAGTTGAACTTGTTCACTCAGTCGGATTAATCCGGTTTGTTCATCGACGTCTTCATCGTGGAGAGATCCTGATGATTTTAGTAACGAATGTGTAGCAGCCCTCGGACCAGGGTCTAATCATGCCACATCCCAGCATCCTTCTGTCAGTACGTTGTCATGACGATTTCACTTCGCGGGTCGATGACGAAACAGGAGGGAGGGTGGGACATGAAGAAAATTCAAGGTGTAAACGGAATTAAAAAACCAAACAAGTAAACGAAAAAAAAAATTCATTCTTGTGTCAGGAGAGTAAGGAAAAAAAAATTGAGTGAAGAGAGCGAGTGAGACAGACAGGAGAAATAAAAGTAAAAATGTGCAATTGTCGAGAAAAACGAAAAAGAAAGAAAATAACACTGGCTTCCGAAGTGATGACTCCTGCGGACGTTCTCACTGGCGTTCTGATGATTTTTAACGTGGACGGGGCTGTGAGTCAGGTTGTACTAGACGCGATCGGATGATCGTGCAGTCAGATTGGGGATGCGAGAATAAATCTCGGTTGGGGATCTTAGGTGGCATGACGGTCTTCCTTCCCAATTAAATGTAGGAGTAGGGTCCATCGGTGAGGGCGCTACACAGCAACAGTCAGGAGGCGTCATCCTTACCACGAGCTCCTCTGCTCGGTCTGTACTCGAGGCCAGGGTCGAACTGCATTAGTACGAAAACCTGAAGAGATAAGAAAAAAGAGTAAGGTATTAATTTCATGAATTAATGATATTAATCATAGGGAACAAAACTTACCTGGTCTGTAGGTAATAGAGTGAAGTCGTCGGGTGGATTGGTGATGACGTATCTCTTGGACGATGCGTCGCAGGATGAGCTTGTGTCACGAAACCTAAATGATTAATTGGAGTATCAACTGTTAATTCTAATGCGATCAAAACACAAAAGCTAAACTAAATATACCCATAACTAAACTAAACGTAGCGAGCAACTAAACACTAAATAAATCAGTGATATGTAACGTTCAAAAATGATATTTTTTGGATGATGTAACTTACGATCGTCATTTTTCGTGTCGTGATGCAAAAACGCAAAATGCAAAAGGTGTGCGGAAAAAAAATCAAAAGTCACAGTAGTAACGTTTGTAATGGTAAGTGTAAATCATGTATGAAAGAGTAGAGTAGAGTAGAGTAGAGTAGAGTAGAGAGTGAGAGAGAGAGTGAGAGAGAGAGTACGTAGGGTAATCCAATAAATACCATCGAGGGAAAGAAAGTCCGGTACCTGTACCTGTACAGACCAATGCACAGCATTCCATACGACTTTAATGCTGCGACAAAGAGGTCACCGTACTTGCCTCCCTCGCCATACTGAGCCAGAGGCCCATCGTATAACGAGATCTGACCAACTCGACAACGATCCCTGTTGGCCAGACTGTCCGCCGTACTAAAAAATAAGCGACAAATGTATAAAATTTTGAATAAAAATTATACTTAAATTGACCTTAAAAAATGGCATACCTGTAGCCACCCCTTAAGCCAGCACCTTCTGCCAGAATCAATTCCAACTCGGGGGTCGCGCCTCCTGTTATCAGCGAGCGGATCAGAGTCAGTGCATTTTGGTTGAAGTAGGTCTGTAAGAAACAACGAATAATTGGAATATTTATCATTTAAATTTATCAATGCAAAATATCATAAGACTACTGACTGTCGACATTAGAGAGTCCAGCACGCTGACAGCAAAGGCAGTACCACAGGCAAACGGCTGTGTGAGGTAGAGCTCCGTGTCCGGGTCATCATCGTCATCCTGGTCGAGAAACTGCACGTTGCTGTCGTTCACGAGTTCTGTTAACAGTGTTACGTTGAAACGATAGGATTGGTTTATTTGGATTTAGCTTCTTTTTAGAATTTTACGTTTCTTCTCTACAATATGAAAACTTACCCGTGATCATGGGCACGTTAGCCCCGTAAACGGATCCTCTACGCTGCAGGACGATGGGACTGCCAACTGCAGTCAAATTACCTTGCTCATTATCTACTGCAATGTTTACTTACAATTTGAGAAAAGAACATCAACAATTATGACGCAGCAACACTCCTTCACGCATTTACCTTGACTGAGGACTCCGATCGTGTCGTCGAATGTCATTGCCTTGATATTAAGGGATGCGAGGATGGCCTCCTTGTCGGCAAGGGTGGGGTCATCGTTGCTAGGCACTTTAGCCGACAAGATGCAACACATGTCGCACAAGTTCACGTTAACAGCGCGCAGGTCGGCTCTGCTCAGCGGCGAACCCTAAAAAAAAATGATTAAAAATAATTCAATATCAAAACTATTCATCCCTTGCTCCGAGGCGTCACTACCGATACAAATTATCAATTTAAACATTACTCCGTGGCTCCGTATTGAATTAAAAAATCGATCATGGTTACCTTAAACAGTAGCAGCATTACGAAGATTAGAATTTTGAAAAAGTGAAAGAGATCAAATGAAATATTATTTTACTAATATCCCAAGGACAGATGTTTCAAGAAAAATGAGTCAAGGACGACCCTAGCTAGAAAAAGGATGATTCGGCTTACATTTAACACTGAGATTTTCGGCAGATTCTGCAGCATCTTCCACTCGCGACGAATGTAGTCCACAGACCCAACTATCACTACATGTTTAAGCTCATGGTAATGGAAATTGGAAGCTCGTAATGGCATGACAAGGTTTCTCAGTCCGATGAGGGGTGAGTCGGGATCAGCAAACAGGCACACAACAACATGGCCATTCAGAACTGTCATGGCCGCCTGATTCCGATCCAGTATGCAGTCTTCGAGGTTACGGGCTGGGCTCCAGTGGAACATGCCCGTAGAGTCGTATTTCATTTCGGTTTTTTCAAAGTCGAAGTCCTTTGCCTGATCGTCGGCGATTCCCACTTGCAGTCCGCCGTTATTGTTGACGTTGGTACCACCCGAGCCTCTGCTCGTGGGCCTGTAATGAATTTTCATCATAGGATATAATAATATAATCGTCACGAATTATCGTTAACTATTGCGCAGCATCAGACCACCGTAACTTCCATCAATACATTATAAACATGGGTACCAAGATCATTCTAGTCGGACGGGACTATAATTGGCGGGAATTTTCAAAAGGGATCGTAGCAGACGAACATGGAGATAACTTTGTTAAAAGAAATTCTCTAAAGCTTTCAAATCTAAGATAACCCCTTTACGAGGGCCATGATAAGAAAATTTTTAATAATTGAGAACGTCTTACTTTAATTTAAAAAATAATAATATACTTGCACAAATTGTCCGTCCATCTTTTAAACACGATGCGTAATCCACGCTACTATAAATTCTAACGAAATCAATTTCGTCTTGAAATTTCATACGAGTGATAACGTCTAGGGATAAAACATGTCTTATACTTATTGTTAGTATAGTTAAATAGAAGACTATACTTTTGTTTTCTTTTTTACCATAGCACAGTATGTATACATGTATTGTATATAAAGTTGTTTTTCAACATTTCTATATCGTCTCTTCGTTTCCTTGTAGTTTATTACATGCTTCACGGGAGGGTCATTAATAAGAATCTATATCAATATAAAAATCGACTCAGTATTTACCTACGGGATAACAATTACGATAAATTGCACTTTGATCAGCTTAAAAGGGTGTAGACGCAATTAGCTCTACGGGTAACGTATCTATCATTGGATCTGTTAGTAGCATAACGTGGTATCCCATGTGTACGTATAAAGTTAATTATCGCGTTAAAGGATAACGAGCTGGTCATATTAAAAAGGCATCGAAAGCTGTCAAAAGCGCTGTCATGCAAAAAAGCCATGCCTAGCTCAACGTCGTAAGTTTGCAGCTTCGGGTAAGATGGAGCAATATTATAAACACATCGTAATACGATATACACAGTAAGACAGTGTTAACGGCAGAAGCATACATGAGTTTTTTGACTTCGTAGGCGAGATGGTAGCCAGCGTATGCGGACTCCTCTTGCGATCTGGAATCAGAAGGTGAGCGTACGTTGGTCCAACCTAAATCACCAGAACTTTACATTTTGTTCTTCCGCTTGAGATTCGTACCGCTTTTTTTTTTTGTTACTGATCGTTAGAGGATGAGATCTTAATGAGCCTGGGAGATATTAGATATATATGCAAAATCATTGAATTTTAGGTCCCTCGTATTCTTTATTTTTTTTTTTTAAATCATGCGTCTCCTGTTTCGCTATAACTAACAGATGGGTATCGATTTGTTCGAGTTCGAAAATTTGTCAATACAATTTCATGGCTATCATACACAGCGAATAACGAACTATCAGTTTGGGTGTCCCGAAACCTCTCGATGTTTATCATGCATGATTCATAATTAATTTTTCGATCGTTAAGACTCTCCATTATTTAAAAACGTTCTGTACGACGTTAAGTGAGACTGATCAGGTAAGCCGTTTGGTATTAGAAATTCATCACGCTGAACGTTAATGATAATTAATATTTTATAACTTTTATAATTGCGCATTAGACTCTCGATGATTCTGGATCGCACGAAAGCTGCTCGAGCATTAGTGATCTCGAAACAAAGAAAGAAAGATAAACCTAAGGCGTGTACGGTATATAACCATGTGACTTGGAGAGTTCATGCTTTTCACATAGTGGATGCAAGAGTGAATCATTTGTATTGTAATCTTGTGCAAATCATCATAGTAGTGCACTCGGCGAAAAATAGATGATTGTCCGAGTACTAAGGGGACTTATGCGGCATAAGAGCTTTCGAGGTAATAAGAAAATTTATAGGATACAGTAAGAGCGTAGATAACAGATAGACAGAGAATTATCTAAGTAGCGAATGATAGCCGCAAAAAGTTCAATGTTGTATAGTGTATCAGTTTGTAGAGGAGTCAGCATATATAGTAATTATAATCGTAGCCATTCCTTGAATCATTAATATTCATTTATCTTTCGATATATATATATGAACCTATAAACGTGCACTAAAAAAAAGAGAACAGGCAATATATCGCTGATAAAATATAATACAATAAGGTACGATATGGTATAAACGCTTGATAGACAAAATATCATGTATTATTTTGTTAAACTTGTATACAATTTGTAGTAAGAATTACGAATACATTTTCGCCTTCTTTTTTCGTCGAGTGTTACTATATGATTGCCACTTTGATTTGGCGCGAAAGTGATACGCATTGGCATTGTCCGTGATAACTCATAATATATCAACGACGAATTGTGAGAACACAACGTGATAACAGCACAAGTAATTTAACTAATGTTTAATATTTCTGTTTTTGTTGTTGTCCGGTGCAATATGGATCCCAAGTGAGAAAAAAATGACACTTATTGAAAGTGACAGCCAGACGATACCCACGTGATGAGTGACAATGATTATGAATACGTGATTGTGATTTGACGATTATACGTATATATATGTATATTATTTTATATATATGTAATATATTCTATTGTGTACTACGTAAGTACTGCATACTGTACCTCTGATTGTACGGTTGATTCGGGCTTGATAAGCTATCATTGGGCGCTCTGTTTACGTTCGGTTTCACTTTGTTGACCTGCTTCGTGGAATTCATCATCGTCATCCCCACGGAGTTCCGATGATTCCTCATGGCTGTAACAAAGTTGATTTAAAAATGATAATCAACGGTATGGCTAATCGGGTGAGATCGCAAAAGCACAGGAGACATTGGGAAATTTAGCAACTACGTTTAATGAGAAATTTGAAGGTGCAGTTAGAGTACGACGAGCGCAATTGAACGTCTTTGAGAATTTATTTGACTTAGTTCATACGAGTGCAGCTGCATTGATTTGATAAAACTGGAATAATATAAATTGAATAAATTTGGAAAATTTTTAAAAACGTTATTGTAATGCAAGTAATATCTAAGACTGCCGTTTTGATTTTATTTTAATGAAACTCGTGGATTGGAAAAAAATGAATTGAAAAAAGGCGTTTTTTATTATTTAGTTGCATGGTGTTTCATCTAATGTTCAGTCATTATTCTTTGAGACGATTATTAGTATTTTTGTGTGATATTGTATTGCGATTATTAGGATCATCTTATTTATACTCCTCCCATGATAACTCATTACAGCTTACCGTTTGGATCGTCTCGTTCGCGACTGATCTCACCTAAAATGCATACAGCAAAATTAGTTTACAAGTAATTAAACGTTGTTTGTCCACGGCTAATTGATTAAGCAGAATAGTCAGTCATTGTTGTCACAAGGATTGTGACCTAACTCCCCCCGGTACTGCGCAATGCTTCGTGTATGAACCTACAGCCCCATGCTTACAGGCGCGCATATCTCATCCTAGACATCTTTATATGTGCTAAGAAAATAATAAATATTAATGATACAGATATATGGAATCAAATGATTTGACTCTATCGAATTTAATGGCAGATTTTGAAAATTACAATTATTTCATACCCTGACAATATTTATGAAAATACTTCAAGCTCAAAAACGCAAAAGTTGTAATTTTCAGTTCGTTTCTAAGTTGACACGATATAAGCATATCGGAAAAAATCATTAAAATATGCCACATCCTTTTCTATATACGTGCCACTATTGTGGATGATAACTTATGGTCAATCGAAACGTGAAACATGCATTCAGAGCTTTACTCCGGAACGGGACAATACTTTTTACTTGTCCTGTGGGAACGTGCAAATACTTCTATCAAGATTAAAAAAGTTATTGGAACCTTCCAGTTTTTTATTGCTCATACACAAATTCTACTTTAAGGGTACGCGAAAAAATTTCATTACTACATTCCAGAGATTAACTAAAAGTAACTATATGAATTCCTTCGTGTTTATCATACATGATGGAATTTGATGCAAAAATTGTATGGAAACAAAGTTTGGTTTAATTAACTGACGCTTCGAAAACTTATATATCCTCTCGCTATTCAGAGCACATAAATAAAACATGCAATGTCGAATCAATATTTAATAATATCAATAATACTACTGTTTTATCATGCAAATGATACTATTGATGATATCACTACAAATACCACCTCGACAAATCATCATTTGAAAGGATCAATTCCGTTTCGTATAATCTGATAAATCTAAATCTAATATCGCAGATCAATGCACTCGTACAAACTAAACTAATTCTCTTATCAATAAGTATAGACACGTAAAAGCTATTAAATTCGAACTAAATATCAAGCGTTAATGAAAATCCCAAAGATTCGACGAGAAACTAAAATAAAATATCTGTGAGATTAGAACAATACAAAAATTCAATGCCCATACAATTCTACAATCACTAAAAAAACAATAGCAAAAAAATAGACAATCGTATGAATACCAAACAAAAGAAAAAAGATTCACGAATCAGTGATACCCCTCGATCGGAAATTTTCAACAAATTCCTAATCTGTACAAAATGAATTGAATTTTTTTCTCATAAAATCCCAATAATTTCCTCTAGTTTCGTCCAACTCGAAGGATATCACAACGGATCGGGCAACCTTCAATCATAATCATAAATTCAATATGCAATGACTTTGCAGTTCAATCAATATCGCGTTATCGATTATTGATATTAATAATAGGAGAGCAGCTTGCGAGACTGTAGCATGGGTTTGACTGAGGTGTAACTGTACCTCTCACGTGAACCATCTTGGGCAGTTCTGGCGGAGTGAATGTGGGGGGAGGATGGTGGTCGTCTGTAACAAACCACTACACATGTTAGCTACCCTACCTAAGTACCTAAGGCCTAATTACTACTGCGTTATTATCACTGATTGATAATCAGTCTTTTACGTTGTCCAATGCAATAGACCGTTCTGACACAACCCGACTAACGTAGATTAGCCAGACTTAAAATTTGATTAGCAAGTAAATCATTAAAAAAAGAAAAAAAAACGGACCAATCAGAAGCGTCGAACTTTCTCGCAATACGTACCCCTGCCATGAGCTGCAAACATTCTGAATAAGAATTTTTATTAAAATTGCTGGTGGTTAGTAGGGGGTGGAAAGGGGTGGGATAGATGTGCTGCGGCTATTTGGAAAAGACGGACGCTTCGGTTTGATCCTGAAGGTACTAATTTTACGTCATTAAAAAATTCTTTCCTGATAACCCCATAGAACGGTCTTCTGAATATTTTAAAGAGACTAGACATTGATCAGGTACCCATTTTTAAATTTTCATTTTTATCTCTAGCCGCGACGAGCAAAATTGTTTCTGACATCGTGGACGTCAGAGTTATATATACGCTTATTAAAGTTAAAATTTTATCGTGAAAATTCCCAAGAGCCTGTACCAATTTTATTATTATTTCAACGTCCACGATCCATAAACAGTATACCGAGAACTAATTTCAATGTTATTTCAACTATTTTAATAGTTCTACGACATGCCTCGTGCACGAGCTACAACTACGCTTGACCGTAAATCCGTAGAAATGGAAAATAATAATGTCTCGAAATAACGAATTCAGTTGGATCAGGTACAGCTGATATTCACTCGGTTGCAAAATTATCTTTGTACCCATTGCATCGACAAGTATCAAAATTGTGTTTCAGTCATAATCGATATTACCTATTTTCCATTTTTCTATCTGATACGGATATAGTGAGCGCCAATCATGCAAGGCTAATCAACCGTACTAATATACGTATTACTATAATCAACACTCGGGTAATTAATTACCGTGTACAGTATATATATGTATATATATTGCGTTCGAAGAAAAACATACGAGAAACTTGTGCAAAAGCTGAGGAATTTTTGGTAGAGTGCAAAAAGTGCATCGAAAATGGTCTAAAAGACTACCGTTTGAGCGAAAAAGAAAGGAAGAACAACAAGAGATAAAAAGAAACAGTAATATAATCAGCTTGACGTAACACTGATAATAATAACAATAATAATAATAACAATGACAACAAAAATAATAATCGTTATACCCGAGAATATATGTCAGACGCGATATCGCACAATATAATCAACTGTAATATGTGCCGTGATATTACATAATATACCTTGTCAATTCCAATTTGTACACTTATCAAAAATTACAATTTCCGAACGATTAATGTATCAAGATGATATATTAAAGCTTTATTGGGCTTTTACCGGATATGCAAGACACGTCGTAAAGACCCTTCAAGTGCAGTCATTGCAAGACTATTATTCACGTCAGTCAATGTGAACGCAATAAATTTCCGAAAATAAAACTTTGATATGGCGTAGCATAAGAACGTACAAAAGTAATTTTTTGATTTTTCACAGAAGTGTAAACGGGATTGTAACGTATACGAAGAAAAGAGCGCATACATTTTTTACCGTCATTAAGCAAAGGTGAACCGGAATTCGAATGAAGAACAATAGTAGTTACCGTATATACATATATATAGGCAGGATATATCCTAGTTTAATGATAAATGTACAAAAAGTTCTGTTTTGTGACGGGCGATACGGTGTTATAATGTATATACAGCGTTGCTCTGTAATTGATGATGGCGCAAGTTCCTACTCTATAAGATTATACAACGTGTCGCGATTGGCAATTTGCACCCGCGAATATTTCCTACGGAATATCGGTAGTACATATTTATAATCAAAAGGTAAGGGTACAAGCTTCCCTCCTCGGACTTACTTGAGTACGTGAAGTCTTCACCTACGTAGTTTTCGTAGACGAGAGTTCAGGCAAATAGACACACAGACGGTTAGTTCAAAAAGATTTCACGTATCGTCATCTGTGCGTATTCTGTGTTATATATATATATATGTATATATGTATATATGTTATGTGCGTATACGTGTCATGGAGATTACATCAGGTATACATAGATGTGGCGAGTGGCAAAGAAGGTGAGTATGAGCGTGACGTGTGGGCTAAATGAGATGTAATGAGGGCGCAATTTTTTTTTTTCAAAATATCTACGGCATATTGTTCGTTAGGAATTTAGCTATTTTTTTGTTGCACTGCCTTCTTTTTACGTAAAAGCACGAGATACGCGATATTCTTGTTAATTAACGTGATTTTGATTTTTCGAGTTTTCAAAAAAGTACAGGTCGTTTCATTTGGTATGGTTCTCGCAGCTGCGTTTGCCAATTCTTTGTCGATTACTGTACTCTCGATTATATCTTTCTTCGCACGTCGAACAGCGTGATTAATGTACTAAATATAGTATCTAAGGTGTTACTGTTAGATGGAACGATTATGTTAAACATCGATACAAGATTAGTTAGCAATTTTAATACTCAAAACAATCATCTCGGTCCTTCCTAATAATTCCAATTCGCACCCACAACAATTAAACCATTGAGAACACTTACAAACCTTCATGAGCTACATTCCATACGACAATAATGAAAAATCGAAGTTGCATGATAAATTAACAACACCACATCGACAGAGCGCAAACACTAATGTTTATCTACGTTGGAGCCAATTGTATAGCCTAGACAAATTTTGGTTGTTTAGCACAACATATATATTTTTTTCAAATGGTCAATTAAAATTTTGAAAAATCACGTATACCAGCATGGCATACGACTGACTTTTAGGTTAAATAATAATCGTTGTGCTAATCATTCCTATAAGAGTACTCTTGTGACTAGAATTGAAAAAAGATGAAAGAAAATTCATTTTCAAAAAAATGATCAGTTTAATACAATAGCCAAAAAATTATCTAGTCACATCGATAGATAATACCTTTACACATAAGAGTCCAAATATTTTACATCGACCAACCATACTGCACCACTTATGTAATATCGAAAAAAAAAAAAATTTTGTTTCACCAGCGATATTTTCAATTTCACAGCAATCCCTTCGTAACTCTTAAAATCTAATATTAACAGGAACTAATTTTTTTTTTTAATTAGTTAAAGTGAGTAATTCAAAGTGACCATAAATTCACGTTAGTCAATGTTACGAAATAAAAGCCGATATGTTTGTGTGAAAATGGGTTGATGCGTTATACGAATGAAAGGAAATTCAATTTCCTCCAATGAATTGACACTTTTAATTCGAAACGCATGACAGTCATGACACGTCCTTCGTGACAGTGAATTTCTAATGCATTCACAGTCACGAATTACGTATACCTCTGACTCAATGCGCCTAAAGCAAGGCCAATTCAATACGAGGTATTCCGTGTGAGGAATGAGGGGCCCGAATAAACAGAATTACTCATGAAAAATAAAAATACATTGGGAAAAACACGTGACACAATTCTACTCTCGGGAAATACGTACTTGCTCTTCCAACCATCTGAACGGCTCGCACGCCTTTCCGGAATGTGGCCACTGCCCGAAGGGAGAGAAGAGCTGTTAGTCTTCACATCAAAATAATGTCAACCTAAATGCGGGGTGTAAGGGGGGGGGGGATTCAACATGGGGTAGGTCTAGGTCTGTAATCTCGATCAATGCATCTTGGGTAATATAATAAATATAATAAACTGTATATATACATTTTCTACGGATATAAAAAAATAAACCAGGTGCGCACGTAAGACGTGAGACAACACAAATAATTAAAAAAATTTTCTTGTATATTTTAAAAATTAGATATTAAGTGAATACGTACCGTTAATAATTGTTAGATTTGCTTTAAGTTATTTCAACTTTGTGAGAGTAGTGATAAGGATGTAAAATAAAGATCGTGTGATTAGTTGAATTATTTCGTGAATAAAAAAAAACTGATTCCTGATTTAAAAGGAGTATCAAGAAATGTGGTCAATTACACCATGAGGATTGATCGAGAAACCTAGTAAGCGGGGACATTGACATTACCAACATAATACAGGTCACAATCAATTTTTCCAGGGTCACCAACAAATGACGTAACAATAAAGACATTCTTCGCTTATTATTCCGCCGTTATGCGATTCGAAACCTGATGATGCTGAAGTAGAGCGCAGAAGATATTATGAAGATACGGGGTGATATTGCGATAGTGTATACGTATAGGTGAATATCAAGAATGGCGTGTAACAGTGTATACATGAGGTACAAGAGGGACGAAAGTAAATGAAAAATAACGATACACGTGTATTCTCTATTAGAAAACAGGATAAACCCTGGGCATCGAAAGTTTATCTTTCAATATTTTACTAGCTATAAACACTCTGCACCAAGCAGGCGTCATTTGACAACCGACAGGCGGGATAACGAATTGGAACAGCCAAAAAATGAAGAGCTGTATACAACGAATAAACGGGTCATTAATGCTCCCACTATATCACGTCTACAGCACTCAAGGTTGTGTATCGACAACGTTTCACGACACTTCCGGTTAAAGTTGGCCTTCTTCATTGAAAAATCATTGATTGCAACGATTTCATCGCTGTCGCGAAATTTCGGCTTCTCGAGAATCCTTCATGTTCCTGGTTAGCAGGTAGGGAAACCAAATCGCCACATTATCCACTTCCACGCAAAGGTACGGTAAGACTGATTCCCTTGTACCGTAGCTTGAGAAAAAAATAAAATCAGTCAAGATAAACTGATCACTGTGAATTTTGTAACTCGGGAGAAATGCAGCATCAAGAAACATTTGATATTTTCATATCTTAGAGTGATGCAAGTTTATCGAGTTCATTTGGAAGTGACATGTTGATCTTGACTGGACCAGCTTCGTACAGCATGTACCAGCTATGTCAATGCTCTAAGTAACGTAGGCCCAGCCGTGTAATATCTTGAAAACTTTGCAGCAGCGTTATACGCCTTCCTCTTGCGTGAGTTTTAGCGTTGTTTATGGTTAAGTCAACTGGTCAATGAAAAAACGTGATGTAAGCAACACTGAAACGACAACGACGTCAACTTGGTTAATGTAAGCCTGTGCCATTTTAAAATTGGCAACCTTAATATACTTTAGGTTATATCTTAACAGCCACAACACATAGAATACGATCAGACAACGTGCTTCTTTGTGCCAATTTTTCAGATGCTTGTCTCTCGACGATAGAAGGAACGAAGTATTTTGCTTCCTTTCTGTGGTTGCGAGCCAGTTTAGAATATAAGGACAATTAGTGGTGCCTTGATACAGTGTTTAGGGCTTACAGTTACTAGTACGTATTAACAGTTTCCACACGTCGCTTGGTCTTGTTCTATATGCAATCGCGTAAAGCAAACGCTATGAGATTGCTAAACATAATCTATGTGTAATAACGAGATATAACATACTAAACAAATTTCAGCTCTAACTAAAGCTCAGTGACATAAAGCCTCGAATCTTAAAGCTCGTACAGGTAAAACAATGATGTCTCGTGGGAAGATTGAAAAAAGTTGAACAAGGCCACAGCTCCTGTCCGAGTAAGTAGTTCATAGAGTATAGACTAAGAAAAAAAGAAAATCCAAAAAATACATAATATTACCGTAGGATATCCTGCGGAAAATAGCACATATTCCACAATGACACACGAGTTCGAATTATTCAAAATTGAAAAAAAAAATTGTCCGTATCTGTATCCGTGTACATAATATAAAAACGTCGAAAGAAATCCAATACTCGGCATTATTTCGGCGGGAATGCCGTTCCATTTTCAATTGGTAATCCTTCGTACGTGCGGCAAAGAGAGAGAGAGAGAGAGATAGAGAAATAAAAAAAAAACTACTGACTCCGACAATATATCCTGTCAGAATAAAATAGGCATCGACTCCCGTAGGATTGTAAAGCTCCCGACATCGATCCCAGGTATAATAACAAGCTCAGCGAATTTTCATTGTTTCCTTCTCGAAGCGTCAACCATTCTATTCCGACAGGTTCTCGTGGAAAACGTTAATGGTCCGGAATACGTATAGGAGTTGGAAAAGCGGAACGTGGAACGTGGAACAAGGCATACCGTCAAGGTAACTGTGGTAGGCAGAATTTCCCTTCACCATGCCAGTCTGCATCATCATCATCCCCACATCTGCAAAAAGCCAGTGGTCAACCAGACACGGGTTTAAGTATTTTAAGTACATAACACCTATCTACTAACATTCAAGGGAATTACAAGAGACACACACAATATTCGCATTAGCGTACCTCGACCGACAATGTATTCGTACGAATCAATTTAATATATCGATATTAAGTTGTTAGCGCTGAAATATGAGTAAATTTATGACATACTGAGGTACGTACAAATTCGACAATTTTCATTTCTACTATTACTATTATTATCGCACTACAACTCTACGTGACTATCGACATCGTCATACGTGATGTATATCCTGTATCGCTATACGAGATTTAATACAGAAATAGGATAAATTCGATGTTAATTAAAAACTATAATTAAACGCTTCCCTCGTTTCTTCGTATGCCGAAGATTTCTCGACAGCCGCGTCACGTATTTTAAATATCGCTAGAGAAGGTCGTGGTCAGATCTATTTCACTATTTTAATAGAATCACCTTGACGCTGGCTTGACACGCTTTCTGAAACATCGCCGCAGATATATATATATATCTACGTCATTCGAGAGTTCGATTACGCCATTGCGGTAATAGATTCTCAAAAAATTTAGCGATGAATTCAATGATTTATTTAAAAAATTATAAACCGAATCGATCACCCCCAATACAGAGTAACGAAGTCTTTGATTGCCCAGGGTTTAAAGCATGACTATTACGTAGGAATAATCGTTCTGATAGGAAAGAGGGGGAAAGAAAGACTGTCGTATGAAATTGTCTTGTGTTATGTTTAAGTCACCGTGTGAGTCAAGAATTATTATTTGCCCATTAAATACTTATAACCTATTACTATATATCCGAACGATTATATTTCTTCTCCCATTTGCTCGCTATGAGATGAATTTTTTTTAAATAAAAAAATCTTTTTCTCTCCACATAGACGGGATCGAAGATTATAACGTATCTATTACTTTGCCATATGCGATGTATATCGCTGCACATGGAGTCCTCTAGAATCTAGAGCACTTATCAAAAACTGAATCGTCAAGGTACCTTGCGATCAATCGTAATTCTCATCAATGACAGCTGGCACGCTGAAAATTGTACGATCGACAAAATAAAAGTGTGCAATGACTGAATACGGGGGAACGACCGAACCCGGAGCTAGTTATATGCAGGGCGAACGAGGGTGGAAAGGGGGGGCACATACTATAAGTGCAGGCTAATTTCGTATATTCGGTCAGGTGATCATGCGCCAGCTGATTCAACTATCAGGGAACATGTCACATGTGTTTCTTGTAATATTTCATTTTTCACGTGTGACCATTAGGTATCTCGGTCCTTGGAGATTCTACAGTGACAACCACGCCAAGAGGGAAACGATATATCTATATTGTACAAAATATCATAACAATATTGCGTTACGATAAAGGGACAATTCCTAAGATGCACATCTAACATCATTTATCATAGTTTCTTATATCGATAAAAAGAAAAATATATATATTTTAATCCTCACAGTGAACACACGCTATGCCATATGATTCAACAAGTATTACACGCGGTACCCTTTTTTTTTCGTGAAAAATGTAACATTACCCAATCCAACATTGCAAACGTCATAAAGTGTTTACATGATACAAGGGTGGTTCGGGGTGAACGGGCGGGTTGGTTAAAAATGCAATTTTCACCATCGCGAATGCATAGAAAGTTTAAGAAAAAAAATTCTCAGAGGCAAGTAAAGGGATAAACAAAGACCGTGAGAGAATCGAAGAGAGTACCAGAGAGATAGTAAGATATATATGTATATATGTAGAAAGGCAGCAATAGAAAGAGATAGAAAAAACCCAAAAGTAAAATCCAGTATACAAAGACATTTCAATAAACAAAGGTTATAGTACAGCAGCCGGTGATTATTATCGTATATGTATGTATATAGTGAATGTATATATAGTAAAAACCAAGCCGCAAGTTAAGGGTGAAGAAAGACATAGTAATCAAAGTAAAATTCAAAGACGAGATATAGTAAAGTTTTTGAGAGTAAGCGAACGAGCGTTTATAGAGACGTTACCTAAGTCCCGGCCCCAGGAACGCTGCTGTTGCCCCACTAGATCATATATCACAATAGCATTGGTCACAACCATGTAATACTTTGTCATCGCGTTATTACTGATAACGGCTCTCGGCGTAACGAGGATAGGAAACAGAATGAATAAAGGATCAGAATAAAAGAGCCAGCAAGAGTTTTTTGCGTTGGTCGATCCGAAACACGGTGAAGAAATTCGTTGCGAGTCACATGAGACTTACTTGAGTAGTGTCTGTGTATGACGTCTAAGAAAGAAGAAAAAAAAAGAAAAAAAAATTACTGCCATCCTCTTATCCAATTATACCTTCCCGTCCTCTATTCACCCCATCGAAGCTCCAATCACACTCCTGTGCTATATTCACCAAAAGGTCCCGTCGACACGAGTCCGGACGTTCTTGTCTGCTTACGAGGACGCATTTGAGATACGTCATGTGACTCACAAAGTGTGTATCATCGCGTATACGCGGCCGATGACGCTTTATTCTTAAGGGATGATCAGAGACTTTTCATTAATAGAGATCTCGATGATAGACGGGCTATACGTTATCGTATAGTATAGCATATAGTATATGGTAGATATAGAGAGAGACAGTGAGAGCTTTACGAAATTCTGGATGGAATGACTTACAGTTTTTGCACTTGCATTTCTTGATTAACGTTTCGTCCTTGATGTCCTCGTGGCATGCTTTGCAGTAGAACCATGCACTGAAATAAGATTATGAGAGTATAATTATTATTTTTTTTTGTGAATTACGTTTACGAAGGTTAAAAAAATTTTTTGACTAAAAAATTATTTTTCTTGGCTATCGATCGCATTAATCATCACGTACCGCTTCACCTCGTCGGCTGATTGAGCAATGAAGAATCCCTGAGTGTTCGCAGCGATTTTGGCGCCTCGCGGATTGATCGAGATCTTGCTGTCGCCACCTCCCTCGCCTTTGATCTCGATTGCCAGCAGCAGAAGCTTCAGTTTCGTGAAGCATAACCTACGACGAGAATGTGTATAACATCCGGTTGCATTGTCAACATATTGAATCGATGGAGAATAGTCAAAGATATGTGGCTATACAAAATACAAGTGTGTATATGAGACTCGATTGATTTATGGCGTTTTATGTGAATTTAGGGAATGCTTTTGACTATCTTCCATTAGTTTTTTGTTTTTTATGTAAACCAAAAGCTGTTACGGTTAGGATTAACGAAAATGACATCTAATTTCGCGCTTTTCTTTTTTTAATAATTTCCAATACACACTATAGATAGTGAAATTTCATTATAATTAATCAACCACTGTGCCAATTATGCGTCCGTTAATTAATATGATTTTTTCGAAATTTCACTATCAAAATTGCAGAAGCTCGCAGGGACGAGGATTAATCGCAAACACAGAGCACACTTTGAACGATATAACAGTGAAATTTAATTATACATTCATAATCACATTTAATTAGACATACGAGTTACTGTTGACGAAACGTAAAATAATATTCAATGATTTTTTTTATGCTCTGCATTCGTTACAGTACAGCTGTACAACATATAAACATCGAACGTGTAGCATGACACCGAGAATCAATGACGTCTAATTTTCTTTTTCTTTCAGTAAACCACCTTCCTTGTCAGTCGTACATTATATCGAGTATATTGATTAATGATTTTCAGTGACGTGCTGCACCTTTAAAATAATAACGAAACATCGGACCATTCGTACGCATCCAAATACATGTACCGGGAGTACCTGGTGATAGGCGATCAAGCAGGCAAACGCTAATAAACGTTCGTTCTAATGTAATTAACCGATATCATGCTGAAAAAGAGAATTTCTAATGCGCTCTATAAATCTATAATAATCTAATCCGCACTCTATTTAGAGATCTAATTAAAATATTACCAGATGGCATTTTAATATTTACTTCGATTCAAATAATCAGTCAACTATATTACCATATGCATATCAATATCTACATATATATAAATGTAAATTCGAATGTGTATCTGCATAGTATATATAATGTAATCTTATAAATAATCTGAGGTCTAAAAGGGGGCGCACCTTAGATTACATATGTGTACTCCCACACACGCAAACTAAAAGAAGCGTTGATCCAACAAGTGAAACAAAGAAAAATCCGAAAGACAAACCTTCAAACGAAACGCAATGATCCGTAAATGGATTTTGTGAAGAAAAAATAAATGACTTCGCTTTAAGAAGTGTCGTTTATATATTTATAAAAAGAATTACAGAGTGCGCTGAAATACGTATTTAATTTCGTGGGCGTCGCTGGTTGTGTGTTCGATGTGTAACTAACTGATTGATCGTTGTGCGTGCAGTAAACATAAAATGTAATAACTTTTGAAATTCTTATGTATTACCGTCGCATGATCAATTGTGCTTTAGAATAAATGTTCTTCTAACGATGTGATGTATGAAATTGTATGGCTCTGCGTAATTGTTTAATCCATATAGCGACTTGTGGCGTGTTATAAATTTTGTCGTTCATTTAAAATGATTACGTCACATCGAATGAGCAACAGGCATGCGCGTACAAAAGTCTCAACGTTGTTAAGAAGATTAGAATGCTACGTCTAAGAGGTAACCACACCATAACAATGGGACGAGTACACGGGACACGATTTATGATACGACTCTGCGTAATTGTACAAAATTCAAAATGCAGTTTTACAGTACTTAACGTTCGCAAAATAAAAAAAAAAAGAAGTCAAATGCACATTTGCCATACGTAAGTAGGGGATTTTCAACATGCAGTTCTTGCATCTCGTTAAACGCGCACGATTAAATTTAATGTATGCAAAATGCAGAATAGTGAATATGTCGAAAAATAATTGCGAGATTGTATTAAATATCACTTGGTTGAAGTTCGCGTAAAATCTAGATCACTTTTTTTTTTACTTAATTTCGATCAAAATTGTAAACCAAGGTAATTAATGAAGTTCGACGGATATTTTAGCAAATGCGGTAAAATTAGAAATTCCCGGTATAATGACTCATTGGCTCAAAATTCAAAAGTCACGCGACTAGCGTTCAGTTAATCCCCAAAGAAACTTTGTCCGCAATGAAATCGCGTGACGTGTGTTGACTATAGTAAAAGTACAGTAGCGTGCCCGTTTAATAAGTCGAATGTCAAAATACTTACTGATCACGCTGAAGTTCGTACCATTAACAGAAATAATAAATCCATGAAACGTGCTCAAACAAGACTCTGCATTCGCTTTGACGTAAAAAAGAAGAAAAAAACGTACGCGCCCATAAGAGATGCAAAAATTGTGATAGATTGTACAAAATTCAAACGTGATCAAAGAGATACCCAACGGGAACGTCTACGCGAAAAAGAAGAGAGAGAGAGAGAGAGAGAAAAAAAAAAGTCCAATAAAATTTGGCCAAAAAAATTCATACTCTCCGGGGGTGAAGGGAGCGAGGGTCATACGAACAATGATACATACAATCATTAAAAATATATATAGTAGAAACGTATGCATTTCTATGTGATATATAGTATATATATATATAAAAAAACAAAACAAAACAAAAAAGACAGGAAAAAAAATATCTCAAGAAAAGTTTGCATGTGTGGCAGTCGTGGCAGCGAGAACTTACTCGCTGGCTTGGGGAAATGTCATCCCGGTAAAGGACGGGGAGAGGGTTTCCGTGTACATCTCGCAGCCCGTGCCCTGCAGGTAATCATTCTGCCACGCCTGAGTGTCCGGCGACTGAAACACCAACCAACCAGCTCCACGTCATGAAATCATCAAACCTTCAAGAGGCTTCCATTGACAAGAATATTCCGCCACGAGAAGTATAACGACTCGTCACACACCTAGTAAAAGAGCGAAACAGCTTCTCGTGACTGGAGGAAAAAATAAATAAAAATAAGAAAAAACATTACTAAACCGGATGCCATCGGAGAGACATCGCATGGAAGTAATAAAGAGTATATATACTGGTAGAGTACTAATAAAATTCAAGTAAAAATGACTACCGATACCATTACGAGATCTTCATTAATCTCAACAAGATTAAATGAACACTTCGATCAACCCTTAGACCTCTAGATGGTACATGATGAAAATAGTAAAAAAAAAAAATGCACGTTCTTTATAGAAGCATGCGCGCCTACGCAATTAGATGATATATAATCGTGTAGTCACGAATTCCTGGAAATAGATTGATTCGGACAAATGGGACATACCTGTATAGGAGCTATGGGATATACGTGGTAGAGGTGTATGCTTGAGAGTAATGCGCTTATGGTAAATGATCACGACTGGAAGAGCAGAAGCCAGGATTGGCAGCACACTTGATCGACCGGCTTCGATCATGGCTTCGAATGTCCCTAGCTTATAAAAGCTATTCCTGATAAACTCGTCTCGACCACGAATTTTGGTCATTTTCTGGTTATCGATCGCGGTTCGCGTTAGAGCGAAAAGCAAGAACCTTGAGTTACCGAGCGGAAGTTAGCAGACCCTAAAGCGATCTCATCCTTGAGGGAAACTTGCCCCGAACCCTTAAAAAGAATGGTTGAACGCGTCCCTTCGAACGAAACTATCCTAGGTCGCCTTTTATCCGCCCAAAGTACCATCGAGCGGAAAGTGCTTCCGATTGACGTGTCTTCGCCGACGGATGAGCGCGATGACAATAATTGCGAAGGTGAATACACGACGTTACTCAAGCGATGAGGGGTGGTTTACATTGATTAGGTGTAGCACAGATACGGTTTATACATGTTGACACGTTTATAGGGTTTATAGCTGAGTGGAGCGTAGTGAGAGACATAGGCGAGGCGAAGCTTCATCCCTTGCTTTTTTTTTTCTTGTTTGATGTCCGATTCAAGAGACTGACCTACCCCTTGAGAGATGAATGAATATCTTTGGTTTGCGTGGATGGAGACGCACTTCTTTTTTTTTTCGAAAAAAAATTACAGCGTGTTTTGCTGGAGGGTTGTAAACATTTTTTTATTCCAGAACAATTCGAGCATTGTGTTTTAATAGAATGCCGTGGATTCTTGTGTTTAGGGGTTGTTTCGAGTAATTCTTTTAGCTGGACTCTTACAGACACGGGTCGTCGTGCGATATAATTGTGATGGTGAAGCAAAAATATGAACGAAAATCGTATATTTTTTGGTCCGATTGTAATGATCATGCGTTTACACCAGTGGCACGAAGCCATTAGCAAAATGTCCCTTAGAAAAATATTCTTTGAACAAGACGTTTTAATTGCAGCCGCATATAAATGACCGCAAGACGAACACGTATTCAAAAGTCCAATTGTGAATTTGTACATCCAAAGCCGTACAACCCTTCGTCATTAGAAAGCTGCACCGTCCTGTATATGGCATTGAGAAATTTACAAAGGATGCAAAAAAGAAGGTGCATATAATTACAATGCTTCTGGTATCAAGAGAGAAAAATAATGTCGCCCACTCGACGAAGGATGTCGTGTGGTCCTTAGAGAAAAAAATTTCCATAGAATCCCAGAAAATTTCTTAACCGACGTAATTATTATACACAAGCAGCTCGCGATAAATCATCATCAACGTATACCAATTATATATAAGATATCGTCTGGTCGTGTCTCTTGAATCAGGACTGATTTTGCTGGAGGACTTTATTGGTCATGGACCGACTTACTCAGTAGCTTTGGCAAAAGGCATTCCAATGAAGGTAGGGCTCAGTGTCTCGGTGTACATCTCCATTCCGGTTCCACGTAGATAGTCATTCTGCCAAGCCTGTATATCGGGCGACTGGTTCCAATCAACCAACCATTTCTAAATTACGTGCGTACATATGCATGTACAGCTGACGTCCACAGTGAAGCGACATATGGTATGGGAATGAAAAAAATACATCCCTGACCTCATAGGTTTAAAAAGTACGATACGAAAACGCTTATTATAAGTTACGCGGTATTCAACTAATATGATAAAAGTATGACAAAATACTGATCTTGCTTCGCGCATCACTGTGGACCTTTTCGACAAGACCTGACGGTACGATGATGACACATGCATATATAGTATATGGCTGGAGGATGATTTTACTGACCGTCTTGAAGGATCGCATGGCGAAGAGATTGGCCATCATTGTACTGAATCCTGGGGCTAAGCAGGACTGAGCGATGAAGCCTAACTTGAGTTCAGCGAGACAGATGACGTCATCGCCCTGCTTCCAGTCCCAAGATGGAATGTTTAGTAAGTAGGCCTGAAATTGATTACAGGGCGTCAGGAATAAATTAAACAATCTTTACTGCTTGGTCCATTTGCTCAAACAAGAAATTTGCCTTTCGCTACATTTTCTTCGTGTACCTTATTGTGATATTGCATTAATTGGATAATGACGCGGATGTCGTCAGAGTAATTCTTGATGGAGATGACACGCATTATGTTGGCCGCGTCCTCTGCGTCAGGATCCTGGCAGTATTTGTTAGCCAGGACCAAGCACGCGTCCGCTTCGTGTACCTAAAACATGTTTCAAATATTATTATTGTGTATGATCGTCCATCCTGGATTATGGATTTGTGTGATAGAATTCGTGGAGTCTCGAATGAAATATTTTATACGATTTTATATTGACGATCTTTCCATAAATTGTTCTCACTCGTGAAGTCGGGAACTTTTTATTGAAACTACGATTCAAAAATTTTACTACTGACCAGGTTGAGCCAAAAAATTATATCGAATCGAAGTATCGCGATTTTTTTATTAATTTTTTTTTTTTTTTAATATCGTCAATAAACTGTCAAATCAATGAATAGGCCCAACGTCATTGAATTTCTCACGTACAAATGAATAAGATAGAAACTTATATACTACGTGCAGAATTATCAGAGAAGATATCCGTCTAAAAAAGCTAATTTCATCATTGACTCAGATAACGGGGAATGATTTCAGGATGAGAATCATCATACTCCATTTTATCTCTGATACAATTCATTGATCAAGAACAAACGTCCCATCCAATCCTGATATCGTTCCACTATCCATATCAACAAAATATATTACCAACCACCAAATATATATTCCATGCTTCGAATGTCGAATGATACTAATCACATCTTACAACTTTCGCATAGAGTATAAGTAACAGAATAATAAGTATAGAACGTAAAGAAAAAGACGCCTTGCGGGCGCTAAGAACGTGCACAAAATTAATGACTCGAATGAATACGAGAAAGTAGCTGAATATTTCATTCGTAACTAGCATACATAAAACTGTGGGACCTAATATATAAAGTTGGTATAAAAAAAAAGACAGCATCTATCGTATCCACGTACACTAATTACAAAATGGGATAATTGGAAGGTAAAACACGTCTAAAGAATTCTATATATAAATATATATATGAGCATTGAATATAATTCTATATACAAAGTCAATGATGCGCAGCCCGTTCCATTTATATAATAAATATATATATATACTATCAATACATCCAACACATGCCCATGTCTACGTAATGGCTAATGTAAAAACGAGTGATTTTTTTTATTTTGAAAAAGACAATAAGTGAGCATGTATCGTTGTGTCTCTCAATCGCAGGGAATTAAAAAAAATTATGCTTTTCTATACTAATCGCTACGTCTCTAAAATGGCCGTGAACATTAGGCTTCAAAAACACGGACACTTACCCACCTGGGTCATCAGCAGGCATGGGTCTATCCGGATGTGACATAGCCCTTAATAGGTTTTATTTTTTTTTTTTATTTTTTTTTTTTTTTTACTTACCTTTTCCAACGACGGACACATTTCTTCCTGGTGAAAGATTCAGGCTAATCATGGGCCAATTTCACTCGTTAGCCAATCGGCACGTAGCGCTCTTTCTTTCTTTTATTTTTTATTCTTTTTTTTTTTTTTTTTTTTTTTTTTTTTTTTTTTTTTTTTTTTTTTTTTTTTTTTTTTTTTTTTTTCGTGTGACGTATATGTATGTTCAGTGTAACGAGATTATAAAAATTGTTGACAGATGCTGCGTAACAATATATTAACGAACGGATATAAAGTCGACTCATAAGACTACAAATCGATAATACCAGGTCGATACACACATGGATATGTTTAATGATCACAATGGCCAATCTCGACGGTCGTCTCGATCATCGTTGCCGATCGTTCCTGTCCCGCGAGAATTAATAACGATCGTGGACAACGTGGCGGGAGTTGACGACGACAACGGAAGAGAGAACAGTGTTCAAAGCAAACAGCAGGGTCAGATGTGCCCCTAGTATACGGCAGTTAAAGTCAACACGACGAAACGCAGCCTAAGGAGGATTAGCGGGAGGACTTTTATAGAGGGTACAAACAGGCAACAACCATGTCCTGGAAACAACAGCATTGTCATCGATGCAACGTGACTTCCGAGTCTCAACGCATCATCGTGAGCAGCAGCCATGACATAATAGTATATCTTGCTCGTGTGCAAATAGGATGGCATCGTCATTTCAAAAAAAAAAAAAAAAGAAAAGAAAAAAATGTTATCACAAAATTTCCAAATCTTCGATGAACGTCAATTTCGAAAAGCCATATACAGGTATACTGTGAAGTATAAAATAGTGAAGCTTGAAGAAAGGACAATGCCCGACTTGTATACCCGATCCAAGTACCAAATAGAAGTACGCGTGATCGAGTTGAAGATAAGTTTAAGAAGAAACAAAGAGATCTATTATATCCAGGATGTATCACGGATGCACGTAATGGAAGTTGCTGCGAGGGTCTGAAGAGAGTATATTACGACACATCTCGACGTGTATAATATAATAGAGGGAAGGGTTTCAGAAGTTATATAGGATAACACAAACAGTCGTCATAGTATTCAAAATGTTAGTGTGCTTTCTGAGAGTGTCAATCTAATGGGGAACTCACCTTGACCCGCTGAAGGTCAATGGGGTTCATGATGGTCCCCTGAAAGAACTCCACGGTCGTGAAGTGCCGCTTGAATAGTCCTTCCAGCTCAAGATCCGGTGGCTTCCTATTCGGCCAATACGACAAACCATACGTTTTATAGTAACATTCACGTCTAATGGTACCGATTGTCCTTCTTCTTTTAAAATTTATATAATCATAATAACACGTGTATATATATATAAACGTACATAACGAAATAGACAAATGATTTATCATAGGAATATACCTAGCGCCAGAAGTAAAGCGTCCGACGCTTTTCCAATCTCGCGTAAACAGTACAGTACAAAGTATAGTAATCTAAAAAATGAATTATCTACTGCACGCTGAATCCGGCCGCAATAGCTCAATACAGCATACCATGCAGTCGCAGGCAGTTGCTTCTACGATGCTTGCTTGCCTCTTGCCACGTCACTTCGTATTCGCAAGGATATCAAAGTGGCACTTTAATCATGTCCAAACGAGCCTACGGCCCTTTCGATACAGGGTCTCAATGCGTGAAGAATGACATACTGGTCCTGGGTGCACGTTACCAATGGGACAAAATAGAATAGAGGAAATATACGTTTCCACAATGGGACACCGGGTCGCTTCGATAATAGCGCGAAGGAAGTCGTGATTGAAATGGCTAAAAGTATATTCACAGGACGCGTAAGGGACGCAGCAACAGGCAAAGTCACTTTGCATGTGATCTATTGATAATGAGCATAATATTTAAAAAATATCAAAATTATATTACTAATATGCTCTCTAGTAATCGTAAGATGTAATTGTATAACGATAAAACAGAGCAATGCACGAGTCGATCGATCAATCAAGTCGTTGGACCCAGGTGTAAACTGTAAGGAACCTAAAACTGTTGAGTGAAGAAGCGCATGGTGTTGAGGAAGATAATGGCTAGGGGAGAGGGAGGGAGGGATGATGAACAGGGTATATGGCAAAATTGAGTGGATTCGTATGCTGTTAGGGGGTTGGGAGAAGGGGGGGGGGTACCTTGACGCGTTCCAAGTCCACAGCATTCATCATGGTTCCCTGAAAAAACTCCACGGTCGTGTAATGCCTCTTCAGGAGACCCTCCAATTCGAGATCCGGTTCTTTTCTGGAAACACAGGCCGCTCCTTATGAATAGGGTGACCGTAGGTCCCGATTTTCTGTCGGGACATTCTGAGAAGATACGTGTACTTCAATGAATGCCAATAACGGGGGGATCTTTTTTTTTGGTCAATGGGAAATTGCGTACTGCTGAAAATCGTACGGATCCATAGATCGGACGTCTGCTTTGAAGATATCTCATTTTTTTCGAAATTGTGCAGTTGGGTATACTTGTTGGTCCTGTGCATCTTGAAACGCCATACTTACCCGTTTGCCACTGTATGGAAAATGTACATTAGAGGAACAAGGGTCAAGTTACTTCGTACGCTCCTGAAAGGAATCGTCAGAATGGTACTAGGCGTAAATTCTTCATTGACTGAATAAATGACTTCATTCGACGTGTGGAGATATCGATTAAACGAGTCGTCAAAAAGGAGAGTAATTATTTTTTTTTCACTTAAATTTTTCTTATCGGGTAAGCGACTGTCATCGCGACGACGACGTTCAACTATAAAACAACAGGGTCTGACGAAACATTTTCAAATAACGCTTCATGAAGTTATTTTTATGAAATAATTTTTTTTCACAAAAATTTTTGTTGAACAAAAATTTTTTAATCAGCAAGAAATTGTTTCGTCCGCACAAAGTCATAATTAATTTCATACCTATGTAAGAAGACAACCTCTACGTCGACATCCTCGCGATCCTCGTGCAAGAAATCCTTGAGGAAGTGCGAGACAGACTCGTAGGTGATGTGGCCGCACACAACAATGTGTCTGCCAACACAACGCACATGTTAGACATAATCACAGAGTGATGATTAGAATTTTTGTTGGCTAAGAGACAAAATAATAATAATTAAAAGAAAAAGAAAAACAATCAAACTACCACGTGTACTACATCGATCTCAATCAGCTAACAACTCTATTAGCCGCTTTTCGTTACCAGACAAAATTATTGTTCTGTTTTTATTTCGTTATTCAGTGAATAAGTACAGGGGAAAGAAACGAAAAAAAAAAAAAAGAGTAGACAGAAACATACACAATTATCTCGGGACATCAATACATTTTTAGTACCAGTTTAGTCTGCTGCCACAAAATAAAAATTAAAAGTTACTGAACACGTCCTGGAGACGCTCTTTATTGTCTCTCCTACGATTTGTCTGACTTAAGTCGCTCAAAAGTCGCCCAACTCAAAGATCCGTGGTAAAGGTAAATTTTTTTAAAATTATTATCATGACACAAGCGGACAAATGTCCCTCGAAAATTAACACGTACCCGTTGACCATACGTGATTGTTATCTTTGAGTTGAGATACCATTGAAATTCCTTGCAAGAACGAGCTACCGACTGATAACGGCATATACATATATATGTATACAAATATAATTGTTTCAATAAAATATAACACGGGAATCAAAGTGAACGTCTAAACTTACCAGAAATCATATAGGGATACAATAAAGTCTAAGTAACCGACTAAAGATCAACTATACGTTGTATATTATGTATCTCTATGTACAAGATATAACTATATAATATAATAAATCAAGTAATATAGATATATACGTGAGTGCAGGCTCGTTCGTATGAAGATTTTTGCAAAATGTCAAGCAAAAATTTTATCTATGTGCCTATAGCTACGTCTGTAGATATAAGGTAATATTATCTAGTGAATTAATAGATATATAAAAACAATATAGTGCCTAAGTGAAAAAACTATAGTAGAGAATATATACAGAAAAAAAGATATATATAAATATATATATCGTGACTATAGTCAGTTCATGCTGTCTCCTACTACTCATGCGATCTCGTTGAGAATTCAGTAGATTTCAATTATAATTTTATACAGCCCTTTGGTCCTTGTTACTTTTTTTCTTTCTTCTAATTCTCTATCAACATTCATGGACAAGGCTAGCGATAGAAATCCTTGTTTCACAAGACTCAATGTTTAGCCAACGAGCTACTGAATTCACGACGAGAGACGCTGATCAATATAATCCCTACTATCGAATTTTCAGTGTACTACACAGGGCGGTTGTATCGTGTGGATGTTGGGAGAAGAGTACTAGATATGTTTGTTTGCCCAGGAGATGGAGTGCTAGATCGACAGAAGACTCTACAAAACGTGTTGGCGACAGAAAGAAAGAAAAAAAAAAAGCAAGAAAAAGAAAAGAAATCGTAATACGCCCTTTTATTCCAAAAATCGTATTAATGGGGAAAAAGAAATAGTATATTACACTATAAGGGCAGAAAACTGAGCTTTCGGCACCGCTCGATAGAATGCTCGAATTCTATCGTGCAGTTCCGGGTGCTCAGTTTGCTGCCCGTGTGGTGTATACTATTTTTCTTTATACCGTGCTCGAAAGTACATGATCGATGCATCGATTTCAGTGCAGAAAGCCTTGAATCTTTGCTGTGTAGACCCCTATCGCAGCACAGCAAAAATCCAAGGCTTTCTGCACTGAAATCGATGCATCGATCATGTACTTTCGACCATGGTATAAAGAAAAATAATTTTTGTTCTATTCATTTAATCTTACTCCACACGATCGTTTATATACACGGGAACGATTATTTGATCGAGACGAGATCAACGACGTAAGATACAAGCGCGACACGTGCAACTTATACGCGGAAAGAAAGAGAAAAAAATGAAAATGAAAAAATGATTCAGCTTTGTAAAAAATATTGACGGAAAGATTTGAAAATTTCGATATTTTAGCGTAATTGCGCGAGTGGATTTTTTTTTCAAATATGATATGATAGTTAACTTATAAAAAAAAACTTATATGAATTTGGATACGTCTGATACTGTATAATATACGAATTAGCTATTGCGTGTTACTGATTTTTGTTTTTGATAATAATGATAACATCGTGTACAGAAAATCCTGTTGTATATCTGGTGCACGCTGAATGAAATAGCACTGTATAGATTTGTATTATGCAGGGATTGAAAATGTAGCCGATGGGATCGTGTAGCGGGTAATTGTGTGGAATTATTAATTGCCGTGTTGAACCGATGTCTGAATGTGTTTCAATGAGTGTCGATCACGAGTTCTTGAATTAAAGTTCGATGCGCACCTGTGTAACTGCAGTATTTAACGTAATATCACAGCCACATATCCACTAATGACAGCTGATTCAAAAATGAGCTCCCTTCCCTAACTAATAATTCACTTCGGCTCACTGATGATATTAAACCAGAACCTGAATCTATGCATAATACCGTATATGACCTACGTTGGAGGTTCAAGGTACGGACACGTAAACGATTATTATGCTGACTAAAACATCAAGGTTATTACACTGAAGTGGTACAACAGTAGGTTATTTGCATTCAGTGTCGGAAATGCAGGGAAAACATGCGAGGAAATGACTCGTTGCACTTTAAGAGAAATACGGCTCTTAAGAAATCCTCCTCGAATAGCGTGATAACGTTAATGATAAAGACCAAAGAGAAACATGAAAAATCAATCACCATATATGAAAAAAAAAAAGTTATCACGTCAATTATCAGTATTCAAAAGACGACAGCAGACAAAAATCAATAATATTTCGGTCCACGTCGTGGATCTTTTGTATCGATCTTACAAATTTTGCCCTTCTGTAATACACGTGAGAAGCAGCGTTACGTAAAAATATCTTAGTAAAAAAGAAATACAAAAGCCACAAAAATCCTTGTAGTTAGGCATAGGAACACTGGTTAAAATCGCCGTTCCCAATGATTAATCGTTATTGCAGATAATTGCCATTAAAGCCGTATTTGTCCCAAGTGCGGTCAATGTGAACAAACAAGCTAAACACCAGTTGCTGGGTGTGGTAGGTGTTTCAAGAGAGGTCGGTGGTGGGTAGGCGGGGGGGTCGAACAAGGGTGGATAAAACGTGGGGTCGGCAGGAGGGTTGTTGGATTTTTGGTCGGCGCCCTAAGGCCAACCCAAACTATAGCGAACTCAGTACGAGTCGGTTGCGACTGTAAATCTGCGACGCTAAGATTTTCTTCTAATGGGATACAAAAGTGACTGACAATGAGAAAATTGGTGCGGGATAAGGGGAAGACGCTATCATCATCGTACGTGAGCGTGGGGTTGGGTGGTGGGTT